CCATGCGATGGCATTCGGCGTCGGGTCGGGCATCACTGGCGTCGCATCGCTGTACGCGTTCGTCAGCCCCATCACAGCGGGACTGGGCCTGCTCAACATTTTCTTGTACACTCTTGTCTATACTCCGATGAAGCGAACCTCGATTGCCAACACGTGGGCCGGCGCAGTGGTTGGCGCGATTCCGCCCGTCATGGGCTGGACGGCCTGCACGGGCTCGCTCGACGCCGGCGCCTTGCTGCTCGCCTACGTCATGTTTGTTTGGCAGTTCCCCCACTTCAATGCCCTCAGCTGGAATCTGCGCGGCGACTACTCGCGCGCGGGCTACCGCATGATGGCTGTGACCGACCCGCAGCTCACCAAGCGGGTCACCATGCGATACGCGCTGGCCATGCTCCCCGTCTCCTTTGTCGCACCAATGCTCGACATGACGACCTGGACGTTTGCCGCGGATTCGCTGATCTGCAATGGCTACATGACGTACTTGGCATGGCGCTTTTACAGCAACACCAACGACGTCACCGCCCGTCGCTGTTTCCTGGGCAGTGTCATCTGCCTTCCCATCCTCTTGACCCTGTTTATGGTTCACAAGAAGCATGACGACGAGGCAGAGGAGGAAGATCACCACGCACAAGGCGAATCAGCGGCTGCGACTGCTGCATGATTGTGTGATTTTGTGAATCTTGTATTAAATTTCGATACGACAATCATTTTTTTGAAACTAAACGTGAGAGTTCGACGTGGGATCGTTGACTCTGAGATGTGCGTTATGGATTGGAACTAGCTTGATGCGGAAAGGCCACGAGAAAAAATGAAAAAGTCATACATGTATTTTTTTTACAAAACAAAATATCAAACAAAAGGTTGCAGAAAGTTGTCGACCTTTCACTGCTGTGCAGCGCGCAGGCGACTGGCATCGGAGGTCGTCCGGGAAATGGCAAGATAGGACTCGCGCAATAGCTGCGTTTCAATCCAGCTGGGGTCGTCTTTATCGCACCAGGAGGCGCCCAGCTCGTCGAGCAATTGCTGCTGGACCTGCTTGATGTGTCGCTGGCGCAGCTGGCGCTCGGTGACATTCGGTTCACTGTCATCGCTATTGCGTCCGGTCGACGCAGTCGCAGTGCGCCAACCATCGTCCGCAAAGGCCGCCAGCATGTCGGGATGCTCGGCGAGCGAGGGGACCACACGCGGCACGTCGGCCAGGCAGCGCGTTGCCTCGTAGACAAAGCGAAGCTCGGAGCCGTCTCCGCCGTCCATGGCATCCTTGCGAGCAAGTTGGCGCAAGAAGAGCTGCAGCGGAATGAAGCGGAAGATGGGGAAGGCATCGTTGGCGGCCTCACCCAAGTCGACACCGCCTGCTTCGTCAATGTTGGCAATGCCGTCATTGTACATGCCGACCTCGGGATCGTAGTCCGATGGCAAGAAGATAATGTTGCCTTCGGCCGTGCGCTCGTGGCGTGGTCGTGGGGCGCCGTCTGCACCAGGGAAGCCGTCGCCGCCAAACTGCATGCTTGCGCGGTTGTTCCCTTGCGGCTGGAAGGAAGATCGAGACGAATCGGCGTGCAGCTGCTGGCTGGAAAGGATGCTCTGGCTGTACAGGTTGGTCACGTACTGGGTGGCCAGCGGGTGCTTCCACTCGGTGAGCAGCTTGAGTGCAGGAGCGGGATCGAGGCGGCTGATCAGACGGAAGGCAAAGTCGGCGTCTTCCCGAGATGCCAGTGTCGACGGCGCGGCGCTGGCTGGAGGGAACAGCGCCGGGGGAGAAGATGGGTCGGATGGGGCCGGGGAAGACGGAATCTCGTACTGGCCAACATTGGGAGCAATGGTGGACAGGATTTCGCGGACAAAGTCGGGAGTCAGCACAAACGTTCTTCGTGAAACATACTGCAGGAAGGTAAAGCGGTCGAGACACTTGTAGGCCAAGCGACCAAACTTGGCGATAAAGTTGTTGGGGAAGGGAAACTCGAGCTCCTCCAGCGCGCAATACAGCATTTCCAACAGCTCAAAGGTGATTTGGTCATTGTCCTGCGTCTCGACCGAGCGGAGTGCCTCGTGCTCGCTCACCGACTGCGACAGCGACGCCAGCTCCGAGTCCAAGTGCGCAAACGAGGGCGACCGCGCGTCAGGAGTGGGATCGGAACTGGAGCTTGCCGAGAGTGGGGTGGCGGGCGAGAATGCCTCGGTGCGGGCTTCGACAATGAGACGGAAAAGCTGGCTCGCTTGAAGTTGTTGCACGTCCGTGTAGTCTTTGGCAGACGACGCCATTTTCGAGTGTGCTTCGCGAGGAGAATTGAGCAGGCCGCGGTCTTTCATGGCCTCGGTTGTTGGCGAGCCAACCGCGTCGGGAACAGCGGCCACTGGTGTGAACATACGGGCAAAGAAGCGACGCATCGAGCTCGCCGGGCTGTTGGCCGGGTTGTTGCCTGGGTTGCCAGCCGCAGACAAGTGGGCGAACGAGGTCACTGCTGAAACAAGAGAGGAGCTGAGCGACGACCCGCCTTGAAGCGCGACACTGGCTGGAGAAGCAGGTTGCTGCGAATTAGCCGAGCCCGAGTTGTTGGAGGCCGGTGAATTGGGCGCGGAACCAAACAGCGAAGAAGAAGAGACATGGCTCGTCTCGCGGCGCAGGCGTCGCTCCACCGAGAAGCGGCGCTGTTTCGAGTTCAAGCATAGCAGCCGCAACGCTTCGAACGAGCTGCCAACCCCGACCATGGAGGACTGCTTCTTGGAAAGCTCAGACTCCTTTTTGATACCGAGAGCCACGTTTTTGAGCGTGCGGTAGTGGAAACCCAGGCCTGCATACTCTTGGGTGAAGGTCGATCGCGTGGTTGCGCCTTCGTCGCCCCACTCATCCACGAGCGCTGGAATGGTTGTCATGGGCAGCAGCCGCAAAAGTGCCGCATCTGCACCCTCTCGGCTCATGTACATGTGGTGGGTTGCACCAATCAAAAACTCTTTGAGAAGCTCTGGCGTGATGCGATGGGGCAGCTCTGCGCAAAGCCGGTCGACGAGGAGCTTGACGGGGCGGGTGTCTGCCATGTGCGCAATGACCAGATGCATGGCCTTCATGTGGAGCTGCGGAGACTCGGACAGCGCAAACAGATCAAAGACAGTGTCCCAGTCGAGCTCGAAGCGGTAAGCGATGCCGCGCGAGCAGTCAAACATGGCAAACCCGGACGATCTGCGTGCCGAGCGGTGCCGAACTCCCTCAAAGTAGGTCACGTACGGAGGAGCAAGCATGGGAGACGACTGGGCCATCGCGGCCAGATTGGCCAGCCGCGAGGTGGCGGGCTTGCGCGGGCCAGCTCCAGCTCGCAGCAGCAGCAGCAGCAGCAGCACCGCCCATCGACGAGGAACTAGTCGCCGACCGGAACGATCCCGCCTGTGGCGAGGAATCGGAGGTGCCAGCGTTAAAGCCAACGGCGGACGGCGGACGCGGAGTCATAGTCCCCATCGTCGAGAAGGACATGGAGAGACTGAGCGGGTCCACCAGCGGCGCGAGGCCAGTTGTGTCGCCAAACATGTAGCCGGATTCTTGGCCAGGCAGGAACGGGGCTGGTCCGCTGCCAATCACAGGGCGGGTGCGCTTGTGCATGGCGGCCACCGTGAAGGGCGAAACACCGCCAGAGGCGCTCGAAGCGGCAGTGCTGTGCGTGTTGGGCGTCATGGCACCGGCAGGCAGCGGACTTGCGCTTCCGCTGCCGCTGTGCGCAGTATCGCCGCCTTCGCTAATGTTACTGCCGCCCGTGTAGCTGAAAATGTTGCTCGACGACTGCATGTTGGCCATTTGATTCCACATGGCAGAGCTCGACAGGAGCGATTGGCTCAAGTACGAAGTGTCCGCACCGCCTGGCGACGACGGCACAGTGATGGCGGCCGACGCAAACGTTCCTGGAGCGTTTCCTGCCGCCATACCCGCTCCAGCCGCCACGCGCGCGTTGAAGGGATTGGGCGGTGCTGCAACAAAAGATCGGGCGCGGGTGGTGCCCGAGTGCGCGTTCGACGAGCCGATGCCTCCAGTTCGGTGGAAGATGAGGTGGTAGGTGACCTCATGCGAGGAGCCGCAGTCGATGAGCTGGAGGTAGTAGCCAGGAATATAGCAGACAAGGTAGTCGTCTGAGTGGGAGGGAATGAGGGGGGGGGGAAACGAAGTGGGTGAGTGACGAACAAATGCACTCCATTTCAGAGGCAAACCCAACCCCGAATCAGAGAGGATGACATACGGGCAGAAATAAAGCAGAGTCGGAACTCTTGAGCAATGTCGTCGGGGATGCCCTTCATTGGAATTTCGTACTCGAGCATGGCTCCTGTCAAAGTGAAACGAAAAACAGCAACACAATTGAGATTGTTGCGAACGACAGCACGCAAGCATCAAACTTGTGCGAGTACCCACCTTGATGCAGAACAAAGATTGTGTAGTGCAAGACTGCATGGTCTTTGGACGACGAGAGTTCTCGGAAGTGCTGATGACAGACGCACAAACCACCACCGAGCATGTGGACGACTTGCATGTTAAAGTGCTTGTCTGTCGAGGCAAAAGAGGCAATAGAGAAACGGTGATGAGCCAAAAAGAAAACAATAGAACAGTCCCACTCACCACACAAACACACAACAATTTACCTGGCAGGGCGCTGGAAAACGGCAGGTGCAGATACTCGCTTTGCTCGATAATCTTGCGGTTGAGCTGCAGGGGCACGGGAGTTTCAATCATGCTTTCAAAGTTGCCCTTGCCAATGAACTGAAGGCAGCGGATCATGGTGCCGATCGGGGCTTTGGCCTCCCGCGGGTTGGCGCCAATCACGAGCAGATAAAAGCATTGGCGGTCCATGTCCCATTGGTACCAGAGGAACTTGCGCGCGAGGACACGCGGCGGATCGATTTGTTTCATGGCAGCACCGCCATCCGCTCCGGTAGGGAAGTGATACAGGTGGACAAACTCCTTGTGCAAAAACAAGAGCAGGTAGGTCATTTTGTCGTCCTGGTCGCCGTAGACAAAGTGGACGCGTTGAAACCCGGTGCGCGACACATTGAAGGCGAATATTTTGAGGGGCGGGCTCAGCTTGACGAGGAAGGACTCGTACCGAATCTCCAGGGAAGAGGCGGGCGCCGGCTGGGGTGGGCCGCCAGCACCACCGCCCGACGCGAGGCCCTGGAGTTGCTGCTGCAACAGCTGGTGCTGCGCGAGCGCGGACATGGACAGGCGACGGTTTTCGTCCTTTGAGGCAGCACGCTGCTGCTGGGCCTCGTCCATCGGCGCGACCACGGCAAAGCAGCTGGTAAACACGAGCAGCGAGCGATCGCGGTTGAGTGACGCACCCACAATGTTGGTTGTACATGGATGTGTGTAGATGGTCTGTGCGACCTTTCGCTTTGTGTCATAGAGGTCGATGAAGGTGAGTTTTGTCAAAAAGTGCTGTGGGGAGGTGGAAAAGAAAGAATGAGGTTAGTTACAAGGATGTCGTTGTTGCCTACTTGTGGTTCATCACGCAACAAGTCTGGTTGTTGTTGCTTACCACATCGTTTGCTTCATATCCGTCCCAGGCGTAGAGAATGATATGCCCGAGCTCCTCGCCGATGATGCGAATGGGCAAGTCGAGCACCGACGTGACCGTGTCCTGGCTCATCATCAAGCAACATAAAAGCACGACAGACAAACAGCAAGTCGTGAGTAAGATGTTTGAATTCACGCATGTGAGTAAAAGCCGGATCAGATTTCGGAAAAACAGCGAAAGTCAGTAAATGTTGTGTTGAGCTCATGCACCTCTCCTAACCATCGTAAAACTTCAGGATGAGTTGCATAACTCTATCCGAACGCATTACATGTTGGATTGTGCTCGGCCAACCTTTGTGATCTTTTTGTATGGAACACCATTGAAAATCGCTCCAACTCGAATTTTGCTCGTTCAACCTCCTCTAACCATCCCAAAACTCCATCATAAGTTCACGGATCCATCTCAAACACAGTGCACTTGTCAGACTGCACTAACTCCAACCTTTGTGATTTTCTGTATGGCGCACCATTGAGCAATCAATCTTTGCTCCAATCTCTCAAGCAGACCGCCCCCTTTTCCGCCTTCTGCCCCTCCAACTCGGCACACTCTCAGCATATCCCACTCTTGCCCTCAACCACTTGACCAGAGTCCGTGTGAGCATCAGCCGCATCCTGATCACTGTCCGTTCACTCTCAGTCAGCTGCTTCCTGCATCTCGATTTCCCTCCTCCCCCTCCGCCCGCCCTCAAACTGAAGCAGACTGCAACTCGTTTGATGGTGATTTTCGAGTGGGGTTTGGTTACAGGACGAGCAAGTCGCGGCAGGTTGGGAAGCAGATCCCGCTCAATGGAAAAGACCTCCTGAAAGTCAAGCATTCAATGGAGTGGGGGAAATGGGGGACTGAGAGTCTGAGTTTAAAAGTAGGGGGTTTGGATGAATGAAGCTTGAATTATAAGGGTATGCAAGTCCATAAGGATTTGAGAAACGGACGATTGGACGAATTTGACGTGGCTGCAAGCTCTGGTTGGAAGTCGTGGGCTCACAGGCACTCAGATTAGGGATCAGGGAGGGTTGTTGAAGCAACGGAAGCGATCAGGATTGGAACTCGAGCAATCCAGGCTGTTGGGACAAAGAAATGGAAGGCAAGTGGTTGTTGCAAGCGGGATTTTGGGTGGTAATTGTTCATTCACAAACAAGAAAAGAAAAAAAGGGAATAAGAAGGCGTCCAGAAGACCAAGGAAGAAATACACACGAGAAGTCGAAGCAAGAGGAAGAAGAAGAAGAAGAGAAACAAAAAAGTACAAAACGCTGGTTCATTGCGTCGTTGTTTCAATCCCATTGACCTTGTGTAAGTTCGTGCCCGTCCGTCGAAAAGGACAACACGCAAACACCGAAAAGCCAACAGGCTACGACACAAATTGCAGCACAGGAGAGAGAGAGAGACATCAAAGCAGAAGCGTCACCGCCGAAACAAGCCGAAAATTCGCTTAGAATCGGCCGGGGTAGGTTCCTGCCTCGAGCTGGTCATTCCAAGCCGAGATCTGCAGACGACGAACAACACCAACAGCAAACGCAGCATATTCGCGATCGTAGGAAATGTGAGAATGTTGTTACAAAAACGAGTCGGCTCAGACTGAAGCTTTTTCCCTCAATTGAGATCAACCAGCACCCCTCAGCGCCACCAAACAATCGACAATCGACACTCACCCAGGCAGTCGGGCAGAGGATGGTGTAGTTCTTCTTGAAGGCCTTGCAAGGGGCATAGTCCTCGCCCTTGGCCTTGATGCACTTTTGATAGTCAACAAAGTTCTGCCAGCAGTTCTTGGTCTGGTTCTGGTTGGGGAAGCGAGCGTCGTATCCGATCGTCTCGATCTTGATCTCGGTCGTGGACATTGTGTTGTGTTTGTCTGCAGCAGCATCAGTGGAAATCGATCAAACGGAAAAAAAAAAAAAAAAAAAAGTTGGTTAGCAAAAGAGTATGAGCGAGCAAGTACCATTGTCTGGCTGAAGAGTGAACGCAATCCGTAAGTCTCGCACTGTTTGAATCGTCCAATTTTTTTTTCGCTCTTTTTTTTTTTTTTCTTCTTCCACTGTCTTCTCGCTCCGCCTCCGCCGCACCGACCCGCCACCCCCGCAACCTCCCCCATCGCCATCTACATCTCACTCTAGTCATCACCATCCTCGATTCCGCGGCGTCTGTCTGTCGCTGTTGGACGAGAACGAATGAAAGAGAGACATCATCTTTTTTTTTTTTTTTTTTTTTGCTTCAATGCTTTTTCTGCCGTTCGTTCGTTCGTTCGTTCGTTCGTTTCGCGCCAATCTCGCGAAATCAAAGTCTAGTTCATCAAAACTCACAAAAACCAGCGACTTTCAATTTCAAAACGCCAAACAATCAGAAAACAAACGAGAGAAAAGAAAAAAAAGAAAAAAAATCCCAGTCAAAAGCGTGGCTCATTTTTTTTTTTTTTTTGGATTTCATTGAGTTTTCCATGGAAAAAGCTTGATTTTTTTTTTTTTTTTTTTGTATGAGTTTTCCATTGACTTTTTTTTTTTTTTCTTCTTCTTCTTCTTCTTCTTCTTCTTCTTCTTCTTCTTCTTTTCATCTGCTTTCGTTCTTTCCACTTGTTTTTCGTGATCATCGTCTTTATTGATGAGATCGTGTTTGCTGTGTGTTTTGCGTTGTTTGATGATCGTCTCGTTTTGTCATTGTTGAAAATAAATAAAAAATCACTTGTAATGTGAATCCAGCAAAAAAAAAAAAAAAAACTTACAAAAAGAAAAGACTGAAAAAATCCCAAAAACAAAAGATCAGAAACGTTAAAGTTGAGAGATTGATATGTTGACGGATTCAGAGTAAAGTAAAGCATTGCAAGAATGGGAAAAAAAGTGAAGGAGGGAGAGAGGAAGGTAGGAGTGGCAAACACTGAATGGAAAAACGCAAGATGCGGAACAACTGTATTCTACACTGTACAAGCTCATTTCAATCACGAGGACGAAGCAGCAGGAGGAAGAGATCAGACAAAACCCAGCACATAACCAAACACTGGGGAGATCGGAGAGAACAGGCACTTCATGCACTTTACAAGCTCAGTTCAGCCACAGTCTTGGATGCTGCTACAAACCCCCTCCCAAGAGTGCAGTTTTGACAAAACCTCCAAGCCGAGCATCAAATACAGTACAACTCGGTCATTAAGACTGACGCTTGGCAGCGCTCGTCGGGTCCTTGCCAGTCACATCCTCAAACTTAATCCCAGCGGCGCTCAGGCTCGAGACCAGGTGGTTGCCAAAGGCCGAGGCTGTGGTGGCAACGCCGGCACGAAGAGGCAGCTCGTAGCGATGATGCGCGAGAAGCAAGGCACACTCGGAAAGCATCTTGGCCGTCTCAGTGTAGCCGGGGTCGCCGCCGCTGACAACGCCTTGGGCGAGCACGGCGCCCTTGGCATCGTAGGCAATCACTTGCGACTTGAACCAGGAGCGCTTGCGACGCTCTTCGGATGGGCCTTGGCGCTGCTTGGGACCAAATCGCTGGAGGTAGGCGCGGCCACCAGGAAAGCGGGCAACAACGGTCAACAGCAGCAGGATGGGGAAGAACAGCACCAGTTTCAGCACAGACTTGAAGCCGCGCATCTGGTAGTACTGTCCGTAGTAGAAGGGCGACGGGTAGGGCGAGGCCACGTTGGTGGTGCTGCTCCCGCTGGCTTTTGGTGTCAGCTCCCAGCTGCGGCGCACAATGGCCGTGTCAATCACGGGCAGTGGCATGACCCAATCCTTGACGGCCCGCATGTATTGGATTGAAAAGCGCGGGGCGTTTGCGGCAGGCGGGAAGAGGAACTGCGACAGCGAGCCAGAGTTGTACCACGCCTGCATCAGCTGCCTCAGATCGCTCAGCTGCGACATGCCCACAGCCTCGATCGCCGTGGTGAAAGTGCCGTTCGACAGGTTGGCGCGGGCGGCAATGACCGTTTTGACCGACTGAACGCGGGAGGTTTGCGTCGCTGCGTCAATGCAGCCAGGCAGCTGCAGCGTGTACCACACACCCAGGTCTGCAGGAATCGAATCAAACCCGCAGCAAGGCACAATGAGCACGTCTGCCTCAGTGGCACGCTGGTGGAATTGCTCCACCACCGCCGAGACAAAACGCGGCTCGCCGGTAATGTCCACATAGTCTGTGTGCGTCTGAGCGAAACAGGGAGAAGCAGGAATGATCGTTAGCAGACCAATACCATAGTCGCGTTCAATCATCATAGGCGAGCAGCACGTACTTCGATGCACGAGCGAACGACGGGAATGCCGTACGCGATGAACGGTCCAACGCAATTGAGGAGCACCCTGGTAGACACCCCAAAGCAATATTCACACAAATGACGACAAGGTAAGCACACTGCGAGTATAAGATGCTCAGAGCTCAGAGCTCCAATTTGGAAATTGACAAATTTGTGCCAATAATACGGTCTCAATCCCTCCTCACCAAGTTCGAGCAGTCGCTGCCTTGATGGAAAGCTCGCTTTCGACATCCACGCCATCGACAACAACGACGTCTTCAGCGCAGGAACCTCGCAGGGCGATCAGCTCTGATTTGACCTTGTTGAGTTTCGCTGCGTCGCGTCCAGCTGTGACCAAAAATAAAATTGGAATAATGTTCGCAATGTTTCAAATGCAACGTGGTGAGTTGATGCGAGTTGAAATATCACGAAAGGGCTGAAGAGGGTGGTTTTGGAAGGCGGAAGCGGAATGATCCGACTAATTGATTTAAAACCCCATTCAAATCATACGGTCGAATGACTAAATCGCAATGCGAAACTGAAGGATTTCGTACCCCCGCCGTCTTATAAAAGTATGAGGAGTTTTTCGTTTTTGCGAAATTTTTTTGTCCCCCAATTGCTTTGTTTTTTACCAATGCCCCACTTGGACCCGGCTGGGAGACGCTCGGCGAGGTAGCGCGCAACAAGCGTTCCAGTAAACCCCGTGGCGCCAAACACGAGGACTTCGAGCTCGCGGGGTGCGCGGCCGGTGCGCGATGCAGCCTGAGCGAACGATTTGCGCGTTGTTGACATTGTGCGTTAGTGTGGAAAAGAAAGAAAGAAAGAAAAAAAAAAAGACTAAGCGACTCAGATTGAAATTGAGATTGAGTGGAAATTGAATAACTGAGATTGAATGGAAATTGAATCGAGCTTGAATGGAAATTGAATAGAGATTGAATCGAGATTGAATAGAGATTGAATAGAGATTGAATAACTGAGATTGCAATCAACTGCGTCGAGGCTTCTTCTCCATCTGTGTGCTGTTTGATGAAAGCACAACGCCCCACAACAGGTACGAGTCGGTACTGAATGTGATGGTTGTGCTGTGCTTCCAGTGAATTGGTTACCGACCGTGCGAAACGCTTGATTGTAGTATGCGATATTGTCACAACTTGTTCGGTGAGGCCTCTCGCTGTGAAATACCAACCGTCGTTGCTTTGGGGTTATGCCTCGGTGCATTGTCAGACTGATGCCTGTCAAAATCAAACAGAGCGGTCCAAACATTGCGCCCACAAGCATCAATTCTCATTTTCGTTCTGTTGTACTGTTACTGCGCCTCGCCAATTTACGCTGAATCTCGCGCTGCAAGGAAAGAGGGGAAGAGGAGATTAGAAACGAATAGAATCGGTCTCGACGACTCAGCGCAACAAGCTCGGCTGCTTGTTGAAGACAGCCTTACCTCAAAATTGCATGTCTATTTCAACTTGGATCGTTTTGCTTGTCTGACGATGAACGTGAAAACCGGCCACGAAACTACTTGTGTCGATCGTTAGGGAAAGAGATGATAGGTTTGGACTGAGATCTCTAGTCTTTTTTTTTTTTTTTTTTCAACAGACCTTTCAATATGCTGTCGTCGCTCTCGTCTCTTTGGAGCCAGCGCGAGTTGTACAAGATGACAAAGAGACAGCGGGAGTTGTATGACAAAGTCAAGAACGCGAGTGGCTGGCTCCTGTAAGAGAAAAGATTGAGTTGATTGGAACACAGTTGTTGACAGCGTGTGCGTGCTGACGACACGGAGCGGAACAGTCTGGCTGAGAGTCAGATTGGCGATGAAGAAGCGAAGGCGATTGCTGAGGCACTCAAAGGGAACAAAGCGGTGACTATGCTCGAGTAAGGCATCTCACTTTGACTGATGCTTGTGAGTGAGTGATACCAGCAGAGTGCTCATTGATGGAGGGGGAATGTGGACAGTCTGAAATGGAATGAGACTGGCGAAGCTGGAGCGCAGGCGATTGCTGAAGCACTCAAGGTGAACACGAAGTTGACTACGGTCGAGTAAGTCATCTCACTTTGACTGATGCATGAGAGTAGGTGATTCAGAAGAGTGCTCATTGATGGGGGGATGTGGACAGTCTTTACAACAATCTGATTGGCGATGTTGGAGCTCACGCGATCGCTGAGGCACTCAAAGTGAACACGAAGCTGACTACGCTCTAGTAAAACATCTCACTCTTGTTGGTGCACGTGAGTGGGTGATTCAGAAGAGTGCTCACTGATGGAGGGAAAAGCAGTCTGAATGCGAATCAGATGGCGATGCTGGAGCGCAAGCGATTGCTGAGGCACTCAAAGTGAACACGACGCTGAAGGAGCTCCGGTAAGGCATCTCACTCTTGCTGGTGCATGTGAGTGGTTGATTCTGACGAGTGCTCACTGATGGAGGGCATGGTCAGACTGGGTGAGAATCAGATTGGCAATGTTGGAGCGCAGGCCATTGCTGTGGTTCTTTCCGTGAACACGACGCTGACTACGCTCTCGTAAGACACCTCACTCTTGCTGGTGTATGTGATGGGTGATTCAGAAGAGTGCTCACTGATGGAGGGGATGGTCAGTCTGGGTGTGAATCAGATTGGCGATATTGGAGCGCAAGCGATTGCTGAAGCACTCAAAGTGAACACAACGATGACCAGGCTCTAGTAAGGCAACTCACTTCGGCTGGTGCATGAGAGTGGGCGATTCAACTGATGAAGGCCATGGTCAGTCTGGACGAGAATCAGATTGGCGATGCTGGAGCACAAATGCTTGCTGAAGCACTCAAAATGAACAAGAATCTGACAACACTCTAGTAAGTCGAGTTGCGCTTCAGAATTCCGATCGTGCATGTATTGGCGCTCAAACTTGAAACTACATTCCGAAACGTCTAGTCTTGATCAGAACTTCATTTCCGAAAATGGCATCAATGCGTTGAAACAAGTCGGCAACAGGACATGCAAACTTTCGTAATTTTGACATGCTTGCTCTGCAATCATAATGGGATGGAGCGGTGCACTTACTTGTGTTTGATTTTAAACAGTACGGGCGGTCAACTCAAGCCGTCACCTGCTCAACTACAGGAGATGGCGTCTCGCGCCGCTCAAGTCCGTCCCAGCGTTCCAACAACTAAAAATCCGCAAGTTGCCCGTTCTGCAGCCAGCGTGCCACACGCTGCTCCAAGTTCCAGCCACGCTCCATCTTCTCCGACCCCTCCTGCCCCTGCCTCCAAACCCCGTGGCAGCGCGAACGCGGGTCCCGCGATACCAACTGACTCCACCGAAGAGATCCGTCAACTGCAAGCTCGCATCGCGCAGCTCGAACTCGAGCGCCAAGCACCACCAATAATCTCTGCCGCACCTTTCCTATCCAACATTCTGAAAGTACCATTGCAAGTTCTGTCGGAAGCAACGGCGCAGTTTTCAGAGTCCAAGCGTATCGGTGGCGGTGGATTTGGCAGCGTCTACTCTGGTGTCTGGAGCGGTCAGCGAGTTGCTGTCAAACGCTTGGCAGCGGATTCAACTCAAGGCATCTCTCAGTTCGAGTCAGAGCTCGAAGCCCTCTCGCGTTTCCGTCACCCGAATATCGTCACCATCATGTGCTATGCCCAGGAAGGCAACGAGCGTTGCTTGGTCTATGAGCTGATGCCAAACGGATCTGTTCGCGATCGTCTCGATCGCAAGGGTGGCACGCCTGCATTGAGCTGGCAGCAACGCCAAAACATTGCCACCGGTGTTGCAAATGCTATGCACTTTGTGCAAACTGCCATTCCACGTCAGCCGCTGTTCCACCTGGACCTCAAGACGGACAATGTGCTGCTGGACGCTCACTTCAACGCAAAGGTCGCCGACTTTGGTCTGACGCGCTCTGCGCCAATGCAAGTGGATGCACACAGCTACATTCGTACGCAAACGGTTCAAGGAACGCTTCAGTACATTTGCCCAGAGTACCACCACGACGGCAAGGTCTCGATCAAAACGGACGTGTACTCGTACGGCATGATTCTGCTTGAACTCGTTACGGGACAGCAGCCCAGTATCAATCTGATGGGTACCGTTCGGCGCGAGCTTAAGAAGAGCCGCAAAATCGATGCGGTGCTGGACAAGGCGATTGACTGGAGCCCTCAAGACAAGGAGTCGGCACAGATGATCGGGGCCGATCTTGCCGCGGATTGTCTTGAACCAGCGCGAGTTAATCGACCGTCGTTCGGCGAGATCCTGAGACGATTGTCGGGCGAAGAAGCTGAAGTGAACGAGGAAGAGGCTGTCGAAGACAGCGAACGCGAGTGCATGTACTGTTACAGCGCCCCGGCGAATGCCAAGCTGATGCCGTGCTGCCACGCATGTGTCTGTGTTGCGTGTGCTCAAAAGATGATCGAGCGTCCAGACAGGTGCATGGTTTGCCGAGTCCTTCCGACCTCCTTTGAAACGGGCAAATACAACCAGACTTTTGTTCCGTGAGCCTTTTTGTTGTTTGTTTGATTCTTGGATGATGTTGTTGTTTGCTGTTTCTGTTTGCTGTTTGCTGTTGTTTCTTGTTGATGATGTTCTGTAGATGTTGCTGTTGCTGCTTGCTGTTTGCATCCATAAAAGCTGTCGAAAACCACACCGTGCGGGGCCAAGGACATGCACGATGGTGGTGGCTGCTGGCCCATGCACGATGCAGGCATCGAATTGTGCCATGCTCGCCATGGTACCGAGTCATAAACAGCGGTGCAGAAGCGACCATTTTCGCAGCGACATGTTCGACCCAACGACTCCATCATCATCGCTCATTCCCCGCTTGCCCACCGCGCCGCTTGTGCGATTTACCGACTTACAGCTCACTTTGCCTTGATTTGGTCGTGCGTCGGAACACAGTTGTTGTTTTTGTTTTTTGCCGAGGTCGGTTCGTGATTGCAAAAAGCTGGGATCTTTGTGCGGGTTGTGTTTGAGGCGGGACTACTTTGTGGCCGAAGCCATCCACACAACACTCGGCAAGCTGCACAAGCTGCCATGGTGCTGATACTGTTGCTTGTTGGGGCGGTTGGCAGCAAAGCGGGGGGGGGGATGAAGCGGAGGCGGGTGAGGCGAAGGAGTGCTTGCTTGCTTGGGCGCGGGCGGGTGGTTGCCAAGCGGTGTCCGTCCCGTGACGGCGCCACCCCCGACCCCGCTTCCCCAACAAACATGAGACCCATTCTAATACGGCTCGACTTGAAGTGCGTCGCGTCGAGCGAGATCCGACTGGAATGAGAGAGTTTCAATGATATGATAAAATCAAAACCAATTTAAAAAAAATCGCAAAGCGGAGGTTTCGTTTTGTTGGGTGACCCAGCAGCAGCAGCAACGCGCCGGTCTGCCGTTCTGCATTACAATGGACGCATGCAAGCGGAGTGCCAATGCGGCTTTGTGCAGCGACGAACTGTGCGGCGATGGACAAAGCACCAACACACAAACCCATAAAAAGCAATGCAATGCTAAAGTCCCAACGCTAAAAACACCCGAAAGTACAAATTTAGGCGTTGAGCTCGATTACTTTATTTGGTGCTGGTTTGGTTGAAAAATTTGGCGTTTTGTTATTTTTAACAATATTGTTTTCTGCATTTTTTTTTTTTTTTTTGTTTGGTTATTAAACTAGTGAATGGAACCGAGAACAAGAATCAACTCCACCACGTTAGCGGCGGCGGCGCTTGTGTTCCTGCTGTGCGTGGCGATTCAGGCGCTGGAGTCGCATGCGGTCGACGCGTGTGGTAGTGCTGGCGTGTGCGCGTGCTCGGGCACTACGGTCGATTGCTCCAACCGAGACCTCGATCTCGGGGACATTCCCAGCGGTATTCCGGCAAATACAACAAGTCTGTAAGGCAGCAGAGAACAACACTCTGTATGGATAATCGGACCGCACAAGCATCAGGCTCACCACGGCCTGGGTTTGATCCACATAGATTGCTTGGCAGCACCAAGATAACCACCATTTCCGCGAGTAACTTTGCAGGCCTTACAGCGCTAACGTATCTGTAAGCAAACCATCCCAAACAGAAAGGGATGGAAAGAAGCAACTCTCACGATTCTGACGACGCTCTCTAGGTCCCTGGATACCAATCTCATGACCAGCATTTCCGCAAACACGTTTAGCAACCTGGTTGCGCTGAAGGAGTTGTATGTAGGCGGCTTGACAAAGGGAGAGGCAACGCGAAATTGGCTCAACTTTGTCTGCTTTGCATTCGATAGAACCATTTGCTGTAGCCCAATCACCTCTATTTCTGCTCAGGCCTTCAATGGACTATCTGAGTTGACATCCTTGTGAGTGAGCGAGAGTACCACGAATGCAAACAAGATAAAGTTGCTGACTGTATTCTGCTTGCATCCGATAGATCAATCCACAACAACCTGCTCACCACCCTTTCTGCAGGGACTTTGAACAGCTTTTCTTTCTTGTCATTCCTGTAAGAACGACGACTACCAGAAGAGGTTGTTATTGTAGATACCTCCGCTCACTTTGCAACTCGACAGTGACCTTCGCGGCAACCAATTCAGCACCTTCCCTACGGCCGCCTTTGCCGGGCTTGATTGGCTGCGTACCATGTAATTTAGCCAAAACCAGGTTGATTGAGAATGCAGCACGAAGAATTGACTCAATTGGCTACCTTTGACAGGTCCATTGGGGACAACCCATTCACGACCATTCCTGCAGGGAGCTTTATCGGGCTGGCCGGGCTGTGGACCTTGTAAGCAGCTGACGGAGAGAGAGAGAGAGAGAGAGAGAGAGAGAGAGAGAGAGAGAGAGAGAGAGAGAGAGAGAGAGAGAGAGAGAGAGAGAGAGAGAGTGTGTGTGTGTGTGTGTGTGTGTGTGTGTGTGCGGCTAATCAACTGTTTCATATTCTCAATTCTTACGGTCGCCAGAGACCTGAGAGGCAGCTCAATCAGCAGCATTGAAGCAAACTCCTTTACCGGGCCGACTTCGCTGCGAGCAATGTAAGAAAACAAAAGATGATGTACTGAGGAACAAGGAGCTGTAGCCGTCTCTATCTCATTCGGTCAATGTTTTGATAGCTACTTGGCCGATTGCCAACTCACCAGCATTCCTGCCAACGCCTTTACCGCGTTGACCGCACTCAATTATCTGTGAGCGCGAAGGCCGCTACTCGTGTTTGTGGAATCCCATCGATCAACTCTCTCATTCTGCGGTCCATTTGGTAGGTGGCTGTACATGAATCGACTCACCAGCATTCCTCCGGGAGCCTTCACCGGCTTGACCGCACTGCAGATCTTGTAAGCATGCCGACTTTACTGCCAATGCAACAGTGGTGAGTTTGCTCAATCAGACTACGTTCGGCAGACACCTGTTCACCAATCAAATCACAAGTCTTCCTGCGAACCTCCTGACCGGGCTGACTGCACTTAATACTGTGTGAGCAAGCTCGCAGCCCCGCAGTCTATCACATGCAAATATCTCACCATGTCCGTTTTGGTTGTAGGAGCTTGCACACCAACCCGTTTACAACCTTGCCACCTGGTCTGTTTCAAGGCTTGCAAAATACTCTCTATTTGACCCAAAATTTGGGAACTGTCCTCGCGCCCAACAACTTCACCTTTGGTGGGTCCACTGTGGCTCCTCCCAGCATGTATGGCAGCGCGTCAACACCGTCCAGTAAGTTGTTTTTTTTTTTCAACAGATTCGGTTTTCTAATCCCCCTCATCCAACTCACTAGCACACTGACTCGTCGCTGCTGCAGAGTGTGATACAGCTTGCGCCACCTGCTTTGATGCCGGCTCTGGTTCATGCTGTGGAGAGAACTGTCTGGCATGTAGTTCATCCGCCGTGTGCACGCAATGCTACGAAGGTTACGGTGTGTTGAATGGCATGTGCGCTCCGCTGGCTTCCGTCGCTTCGGATTCAGTCGCCTCCGTTGCGTCTGCCGCTTCAAGTATCTCGGCGGCAGTTGCTTCGGATTCAGTCGCCTCGGTTGCCAGTGCTGCTTCAAGTGTCTCGGCGGCACGTGCTTCCGCCACATCCGCTTCAGGTGCTTCTGCCGCCTCGACTGCTACTGCTTCACTTGCATCTATATCCAGTGCTTCGGTTGCTTCTGCTGCTTCTACTGCATCGACTGTCGCGGCCTCCGTTGCATCCGTCGCGTCCGCAGCGTCAGCAACGGTCGCGAGTTTGGTTTCTATCAGCTCTTCCTTGTCGGCGTCGGTCGCTTCCATTGCCTCTGCCTCTGCCGCCTCAGCGGCGACTGAAGCCTCGACATCCGCTGCTTCCTTTGCGTCGGTTGCTTCTGTCGCGTCAGCTGCGACTGCCGCTTCGGCGTCCGCGGCCTCGGCTGCCTCCAACGCCCCTCTGGAGAATTCCGACAGCTCGTCTCCAGCGGCTGCAATCGCTGCTGCTGTTGTATCAGTTGTGGCTGTCGCCCTAATTGCTCTCGCCGTCTTTTTGGTTCGACGTCGGCGTTCGCGACAACGCTCAGTCGCGCAACCAAAGGACCAAGAAACATTGGAACTGACCATCTCGCCTCTCCCCAAGTCCAATTCCAATTCCAATTCCGATTCCAGTCCACCTCCCAAAAACGACGACAACTCTGGCTACGACGTGGTTGATCCAGTGCTGCCAGAACCCACGTATCAACCCTTCACAACAACTCCCGCGAAGAACGATGATCTGATCGACGACTACGACTATACGGTGATCGACGACTATACCGCCGTCTATGTCGCAGGTAGTAATTCTAGTCGCGTTCGTGATGGCTTGACCATTTTGAAGCATCTTGCCAGTGGTAACTTTGGCGACGTCGCACTCGGTCAAGTGCCGTTCAGCGTCCTGCCCCAACGAGCACAAGCCTTGCTTGGACGCAAAGCTTCGTCTGAAACCGTTCAAGTTGCAGTCAAGTCTCTGAAGTCTGACGCAGACGAGAAATCCCGCAAGGACTTTGAAAGCGAAGCGAAACTGATGGCCCCGTTCGTGCATCAGAATGTCGTGCGGCTGCTTGCGGCACTTGTCGAGTCAGAGCCCCATCTCGTACTGCTCGAGTTTGTGCAGTATGGCGATTTGCGCACGCTGCTGCAAAAGTGCAAGCTCCACTCGTTTTGGTGGACGCAGAACGAGCAGGTGCATGCCATTCGTCAGATTGCACTCGGCATGGAGTACTTGGGCACGCTCCACTTTGTACACCGCGACCTCGCCGCACGCAACTGTCTCGTGGGGCAGGGAATGGTGGTCAAGATTGCCGACTTTGGGCTTTCTCGCGAGCTAGAAGACGAGAATGACTATTATCGCATGCAAACGCGCGGCAAGCTTCCTGTGAAGGTGGGTCGATGGTGTACAAATGGATGCTTGTTGCTGTGATACTAATTCAAGTGATCTTGCCCACATTAGTGGATGGCGCCGGAAACAATGACCTTCCGCAAGTTTTCGGCCTTGTCGGACGTGTGGTCTTTCGGCGTGACGGCCTGTAAGTCGAGGGACTCTATCGCAGTGATGTGGGGTCGAACGTTGTTCTCACTTGATGCGGCTGCGGCGATGCTTGGTGGCAGGGGAATGCTGTAGTTACGGCGAACAGCCGTACGGCAAGTTGAGTGGTCGTGACACTCTTGCTCACGTGGAGGCTGGCGGTCGTCTGCCCATGCCAGAAAACTGCATGCCCGAGCTCTACAACATGATGATGACTTGCTGGAACGTGATACCAGAGTTCCGACCAAGCTTTTCGCAGCTCGTCAAGGTGATGTCAAGTTTTGAGGATGGGACGACCATTCGCGACATTGGCGCCAAGGTGTGACACTATGTTCGACGCTTATTTTAAACATTTGTGCATTGCGCATCTCGAGGAGTCTTTGTCTATGTGTGTGTGTGTGTGTGTGTGCTCGATTTGTTTGTTTTTTCCTGCTTATTTTTCCTTGATTCTCGACCTCGCAACTTTGCCACAATTTCGCCACACGCACCCCCAGTGACAGGCCAGCGAGTAACAGTGACGGTGACAGAGACAGCATGAGACTGAATAACTGACGGTGAGATTCCCAAAAAAGGGGATTCAGTCTTCGTTTCTTCTCAAAGCATGAACATTTTCCGGTTGGCGGGCGATTTGAGCCACGTCGTCGCCATCTTCCTCCTCCTCTGGAAGATCTGGACGACCCGCTCTTGCAAAGGTAGCCCACACGCACAAGCATACATTGTACACTGCACACATTGTCGTGGAACATTCAAACAAAAAAGCAAGGAAAACAAAAAATCGGAAAAAACCGACAAAACCAGCAAAATCGCTGAGAATTGCTCAGAAAAAAAAAACTGAAACTACTCAAAAACTCAACGCAACGCAATGCATTGAAAGAAGGAAGAAAACGCGGGTTGCATTGAAAAAAAAGCAAAGAAGAAAGAAAGTCTAATGCAAATCCAGCCAAAAAAAAAAAAAAAAAGCGATCTCGATTTTTCTTTTTCCAATGGTTTTTCTATGAGTGAATTTTTTTTTTTTTTTTTTTGTTTGCAATGGTTTTTCAATGGATTTTTCTTCTTTTTCGTTCTTTTTCTTTTCTGTCTTTTTTTTTGTCGTTCTTTGTCTCGTTACAACTTGATTTCTTAAAGACAGAGAAACGAGAGCGAGAACGAGAGACAGAGAACGAGAGACAGCGAGACAGAGAACGAGAGCGCGGCAATGGACTGCATTGATTCATGATCGTCGTCGCCGCTCCTCCTCCTGCCAAACTGTGACGCTCCGAATTGCTGCGTTCTCGCGGTCTGTTGTGCGATGGTCGGCGTTGGAGCTGGACTTGTGGAGAGAGAGAGACACAGAGCGAGACTCTCGTTTTTCCATTGCCAATGCATTGAAGCCGTTTTGCTTGAACTTCGAAGGTCCAGCGTTCGTTCGAGCAGTTGTTGGGAAAGAAACGAAGGCTGCGTTCGTTGTGTCAGAGTTTGGGAAAAAGGCAGTCAATGCTTGGAGAGAGAGACGGAAAGCGAGAGTGCGAGTCGGGAAAGCAGGAAGACGTGGCAATGGTAGTCCCATAGAACCAGAACAAGTACGATACGTTCACCAAGTCTGGGTCAAGTCCGATGGTAGTAGTCTCAGGGATGGTCCCCAATGGTCGTCCCAGCGGAAAGTTTGATCAAGCTCTATGATAGTAGTACGATCGTTCCCATGGTCAAGTTTTACTATGATGGTACTATGGTACTATGGTACTATGAGTGGTGCAAATCGCACGTCGACAAGGTCGTGAAACAGTTCCCATCGGTGAATCCAAGTCCAGTACTATGCAACTATTGTCGGATATTGCAGAAGCCGGACAGTCGTGTTTCCCGACCAATGGACTCGTTGGACCGCTTTCTTGTCTGGCGAACGCGGATTGTCGCATCAACGTTCTGTTGTGCTGCACACGATCGTTTGCTTGAGAGCCATCATATCGTATATGGGGTGGCATTTCGATGAGGTTCCGTTGAATACGACCCTCTTCTTCGATCGCATTCTCACTTTCGCGCTTTTCGTCATCCTCACCATCGCATTCAACTCCACGCTTCTTCTGTTGTCTTGTCGATTGTTGGTTGTCTTCATCTCATTCAATTCCTTCGCTCTTGTTGTGTGTGCTTTGCAGGCATCTCGCTGCGCAGCCAGGGACTCTTTGCGCTCGTTTTCACGCTCCGCTACTTGGACTTGTTCACGACGTACATTTCGCTGTACAACACGGTCATGAAGATTCTGTTCATCACCTCGTCCTACGGCACCTGCTATCTGATTTTCAAAAAGTTCCGCGCGACGTACGACCACAACGTCGATAACTTCCCGCTCCAATATCCCCTGGGCGCCTGTGTTATCCTCGCTCTCATTTTCAACCACAGCTGGGATCCCGTCGAGGTGAGAACAAAAGGCCCACCACAAAGCTGGAGCTGCTTTTCAAATGTTGTTTTCTTGTTTTTCTCACATTGCAACCAAAACCATCACACACCCTCAGTTGCTCTGGACTGTCTCCATCTACCTCGAGTCGGTCGCCATCATGCCGCAATTGTGGATGATCCAAAAGACTGGCGAGGCAGAGAGCGTCACTTCACACTACCTCTTTGCTCTTGGTGCATACCGCGCCTTGTATCTCCTCAACTGGGTTTACCGCTACTTTGAGGAAGACCACTTTGATGCCATCGTCGTGTTCGCCGGCATCATTCAGACTGTTCTCTACTGCGACTTTTTCTACCTCTACATTACAAAGGGTACGGCATGGTTTGCCTAGGTTTGGGCTTCGTTTCTTTTTCGTTTGGTTTTCGTTTGCTCATCACTCGCGTGTCTTTATCGTTTTGCACGACAGTTCTCCGAGGGCAACGCTTGAAGATGCCCATCTAAATCTATTTGCAAGTTATTTTCGCTTTGTTTTGCCAGTGTGTTTTCGGGCTGCAGGATTCAACACGAGGCTTGTTTTGTTTTCTCGCCCCTTTTGCGTTTGCTTTTGCTTTTGCTTTTGCTTTTGCTCGGGTGTGCAAAACAACGATCTTTTGCTTGAATGTTGTTGTTGTTGTTGTTGTTGTTGTTGTTAAAGTCACAGCCTCTGTTTCATTGTGTTGTTCGTTTGTCAACTTATCTGCGCTTCGACGATGCTTATTTCCACTCGCGTTGACTAGCAAACAACCTATTCCTAAAAGCACAAATCAACAACACTGCGTGCGCTTGACAGCCCTCAGTCTTCTTCTTCTTCTTCTTTCTCAGATCCATGTCTGAGCAGCACGGTTTGAAGCGCGCCCATTCGGATCTCGACCGCGCCTCGCCCTCCGACCCCGACGCAGCACCGCAGCGCCATCATGACGACGGCCATCCTCACGACCATCACAGCAGCAGGAAGCGAGAACGGTTTGACGATGGCTCTGGCTCTGACTCGGACTCGGACGAGCGAGGCGGACTCGGACTCGGACTCGGACTCGGCTCATCCAACCCATTGCATGACAATGATGTTGAGGATGCTGAGCGATCGGGCAAAGTGGACGAGTCGACGGCAGCGACGTTGATGGAGACGAGCGAGGACGACCAATCTCAGTCGCGGGCAGTCGCAGCAGCACCGCTCAACTTTGGCGAGCGTATGCTGGTAAGACAAGTTTAAACATTGGAGATTGAGACGGGCGGAAGGTTGGCGACGGGGGGGAGAGATGAAAGTGGGACCGACTGGATTGCAATGGAAACTTCCACACACTCTGCTGCGTGTTGCAGTATGCTGATTGTATGTGTTATGACGTGTCTGAATTTCTTGTGTGCGATGGTAAATAATAGCGTAAACATGGTTGGTCGGCCGGACGAGGTCTCGGTGCCTCAGAACAAGGTAAAAACATACTCAGAAAGAGCTCATCTTAGATACTCGGTCGGAATCTATCGACTTGACAGTCGCTGTCATGCCTCGATTGTCGTGCTTGCTTACGAAACACGCAATGATTATTTGGTAGGTATCGCGGAACCGATTGCGCCGGAAGGAAACGTCGATCGTCTTGGTCTGGGCATGGCTGCTCCTGCACCCATCCGACATGTCGTGGATTTATCGCGCCCAATCCCTCACCAGCAAAACCAGGTTGTCTGGCTGGAGCGCCCAAGCGAGGAGCAGAGCAAGCCGTTCGTACTGGACGCAGACCGCGACTTGGTCGTCGAACCGCACGGCCCGATCGATTACAACATTTTTTGCGACAGCGAGCTGGTTCGAAAGCTGTTTGCAGCAAAGACAGTGTTTGACGGCATGCCAGAGCACAAGTTCAAGAACGCGAGATCCAAAGCCAATCCGCACGAATCCATTGGCAAGAGCGCCTTTATCAACCGCGCGGCACTCAAAATGGCGAATCTCGATCATGTCTTTGAGATTATTTCGCTCAATCATGCAGACGACAATGTCCGTGTTCAACATCAAAAGGCCACTGCGGCTGCTGCTGCTGCTGCTGCTGCTGCTGCTGCTGCTGCTGCTGCTGCTATAGACCAACAATCGCCGAATGTCCCAACCAGCGACAATGAGACCGAGCTGGACGGCAATTCTGCAACAACAAAAACCACAAGCATGGCCGACCGCGTACCACTCGCCGCCACTCTGGCAGCAGACCAAGTGGTCATTGCTTGCGATATCTGCGCAGGCCCCGGCGGCTTTTCCGAGTACATGCTCTGGCGCCGTCCACAGTTGTGCAAAGTGTTTGGTTTTACTCTGCGAGGCGACCAAGATTTCACTCCACACCTCTTCCACCCTGAGTGCATCCAGGCCGACTTTCACGCGTGCTATGGCGCAGACAAGACAGGCAACATGCTGTCCTCCGACAACATTCGCCACTTTGCCCAGACGGTGCGTGACGGCAGCAATGGAGTTGGCGCCCATTTTTGCATCGGCGACGGTGGATTTGGCGTTGGAGGCGATGAAAACTTCCAGGAAGAGCACCTCAAGCAGCTGCTACTCTGCCAATTCTTGACGGGTCTTGTCGTCCTGGGGCCGGGCGGGACGTTCATTTGCAAAGTGTTTGATCTGTTCACGCCGTTCAGCGCTGGACTGGTCTACATCATGTCGCGACTCTTCCGCCGAACGTGCCTGATCAAGCCATTCACGAGCCGTCCCGCCAACTCGGAGCGATACATTGTGTGCGAGGACTTTCAAGCCGAAACCCCTTCCGCCATCATCGAGTACCTCTTCAACGTCAACGACAGTCTTCACAAGCTTCCTGGCTGGTCCCGGGAAGGGTGCGATGACATTACCCAGATTGTGGCACCCGAGCAGTTTGACGCCAGTTTCATCCACTATTTGCGGTCGTCCAACGAGTCGCTTGCACGCATGCAAATCGAAGCGCTAGAGTTGCTGTTAAAGTACGCCGAAGATCCGACTCTTGAAACGGTTGATCAGGCCGCCGTGGCCGAGAAATGCCTCGAGCTCTGGGGTGTTCCCGCCTCTCGAGCGCGCTCTCGTGGCGGCCAGTCCCATCGCGGAGGCGGCAACCATGGGCGAGGGCGAGGCAGAGACCGCAACCACCACAATCGCTACGATCACGGAAACAACCACCGTCGCGACGCTGCATCACCACGAGAGCACGGTCGTAACGATTACCAGGCCAACAGGGATTACCGCAACCGCGATTCCCATCATCATGATGACCACAATCACAACTCTGGCAGCATCGCTGATCGAATCAACCTGCCTCCTCCGGAACCCATTGCGTCCGGGTCTTCGCTGCAACAGCGACATCTCGAGAAGGCGCAGGAGCAGATGCGCGCACAAGCCGCGCGCGAACCCCCTGCCGGACTCTTGCCTCTGCCCCCACCGACGCAACGCATGCCATCTCCTCCACGCCACCACGACAACCGCGCACCGCCTCGGTACAACGACCGCGGACCTCCGCGATACAACGATCGGCCACGGTATGACGATCGGCCGCGGTATGACGATCGGCCGCGGCATGACGATCGGCCGCGATACGACGATCGACAGCGATACGATGATCGGCCACCACGATATGATGACCGGCCTCGTCGTCCGCAACATGGAAACTCGAATTCCGACCGTCGCGATGAGTATCGTCCCCATTATTAAAGCTGCTCATTTGGAGAATGCAGTGCCGTGTCGTAGCACTCGTACAAAACCAACCTTCACGTGTAACAAAATGTAATGCGTTTGAAGTACATGTAAACGAATACAAACACACAAACAGTACACTATCGATCGGCAAGACAGACAACGATTTGTGGGTGGAGGGACGGGGAAAGAGTAAAACTGAGAGAAACGGTCGAGGTTGGTAACCACAGCTGCAGAGGGACAGCGGACCAACGAAACAACAAGGATGCCAGCGTCCAGCGCCAGGAAAAACAATGCAGACGGAAGAAAACAACAAGCTCATCAAAACAGACTGAAAAAAAAAACAAGCATCAAAAACAGCCCACGAAACAAACGGCTCATGCGTCTGTCGTCAGATCGCTCTTGCCCTGGTAAGTAAAGCCCTTGAAAATATCATCGTCGTGACCAACAACCCGCTGGTTGGGTGTCAACACTGCTGGCATCTTTGTGAATTTGACATCAAAATTGCTGACATCGAGTTCCGAAGTCTGAATGGAAGCCAGAGCAAGAAAAGGTGAGACAATGATGCAACGGTGCGAGACCATTCGTGGTAAAAGCTGCACAGAGAAACTTACCACTGGCGGGACATATGGCGGCGTCAACTGCCGAGCAAGAAGCTTGTCGAAATCAATCGAGGCAAAGAAGCGATGCCTGAGAATCTCTTGACCATCAGAAGGGCCACGGCCCAGGCGATCTCGCGGGTCGCGGACAAGCAGCTGGAAAAAAAATCACACACAATCAGGTCAGCCAAAGACAATTTCAACAACCACAAACATCACAATCGCTTGGGAAAACACACCGCGTGAAGCAGAGACAGGGTCAAGGGACTGAAATGTGGCGGATAGTTGATGGGCTCGTAGAGAATCATCTCAAACAAGCCCTCAATCGTCTTGGCGCGGAATGGCGTGTGTCCGCACTGCATTTCGTAACAAACAATACCAAGCGCCCACCAATCGACAGAGCGACCATAATCGTCGTCTTCTAGCACCTCTGGCGCAATGTACTCGGGAGTGCCGCAGAACGTGGCAGTTCTGTCTTCGGGCTGCAGGTTGTCTTTCGACAGGCCAAAGTCTGTGATGCGAATGTGGCCGTCGTGATCCAAGAGCAAGTTTTCAAGTTTCAAATCTCTGCCCATCGGGGAAAAAAATTGCAAGAAGAACAGCATGAGCAGTGGAATTTGGAAAAATCACAAATAGCAAAGAGAACCGTCGGAACACGTACCTGTAAACGATGCCCTTGGCATGCAAATAGGTCAGTGCAGAGCCAATTTCGGCGAGGTAGAAACGCGTCTTGTCTTCGCTGAACGGTCCAGCGCGCTTCAGGTGCGTGTAAATCTCGCCACCGTTAATGTACTCCATCACGAAGAACAGACGGTCGTCCGTTTGGAATGCGAAAAAGAGCTTGACGACGAACGGGTGCTCTAAAATCTTCAAGACGCGGTTTTCCGTGACAGTGTGCGAGATGGTCTGCTCGCTCTCGACGACGGCCGCCTTCTTGATAATCTTGACGGCGTATACTTGCTTGGTGTCGTTCTTGGACGCCAAGATAACCTTGCCGAAGGTGCCCTTGCCAAGAACCTTCCAGAATGAAAAGTCTTGCGGGCCCAGACGAGCAGTGACGGTCGGGTCCGAGCAAAATTCGAGATCTGGAAGCGGTTGGTTTGTGGGTGAGTGACAGCGGCGACAGCTTGACACAAACAGAGCCGTAGACTAGTCATGCATGGAGTACAAACCTGGAATCGGGTTGCGCACGTCTGGGGGCGGCGGTGGCTTCTCGCGAATGACAACCAACGTGTTTTTCAGCTCTTTGATGCGCTGCTGTTGCACAATCAATTGCTGTCAAGTTTATCACAAAGGAGGGAAGGCGAGGTGAGTTGTTGTTGTCGAAATGCAGGGCGTCCAAGGCAGCTGCCCCTCAATGACTTACGTTTTCAAGGGTTGCCGGTGGATCGTAAAAGCTCTCGTACTTTTCGGTGAGCTCGGCCAACCGCTTTTCCTCCTGTCCAATCATGCGCTCAATCACCTCTGCGTCGAGGGGTTTTGCTTGGGTGTTTGATCCCAGCTCCGCTTGCTGTTAAAACGACAAGGTGAACAAAAAAAAAAGGTAAGCAAACCGAAATTTGCCTCTCCTTGTTCAACAACTGAAGTCCCAACACTCACATTGGCCACAATCTTCTCGGCGGCTTCGGTAATAGCAGCCATCCAGGAATCTCGGATCTCGGCCGTCTTGGCTTGCAGATTGACGCGATGGTCATTGCGCAGAATAATGACAAACTCGTTCTCCGTGCCCACCGTCTGCACTTTGCACCTGCGCAAGTCGATCGTGCTGCTTGGATCGCCGCCCTGTGTTGGTTTGTGCGAATGGTGAGTTTGCGCATTCATAGACAGGAGACAACTTGAATGCAAAATTTTCGACCCAGTTCCAATTGGTTTAGCACTGGACGTGCTCCATCGCCATAGCTTCCGTCCCTCTCAGACTGCACCAACATGTTACTCGATCTGGCTTTCAAAAGTGCAGCTGTATTACCTTGCTCGGATCGCGGTAATAGTTCAGAATGTAGTTGCGCAGGACAAAGTACCTCGAAACCCACTTTTTGAACAGTGCGCCTGTGTTGAACAAGTAAAAAAAAAAGCATTGAAAGCAGGTGAAGGAGTTGACGTCAAGTGTAAGATGTAGCGATGAAAAAAACAAAAGTTCACTCGAGAGTATAATCGCCACTTTCTAAATCGATTTGACTTTTCTCCTCCTTTGCTCCTCGCCCCTAACCCTAAGGATTCTCAACCCGCTCTCTTTCTCCTCCTTTGCTCCTCGCCCCTAACCCTAAGGATTCTCAACCCGCTCTCTTCCCCCTATAAAGTCCAGCTCTGACTCTTCAAATTCGTCGCTCAATCAGATCAACAAGAATCAAAACCGTAATGCAAATCCAGCCAAAATAAATAAATAAAACCGTAATGCAAATCCAGCCAAAATAAATAAAATAAATAAATAAAAACTCGACTTTTATTGTATTGCTTTTGTATTGCTTTTGCATTGATTTTTTTTTCTTTTTTTTTTTTTTGTTTGTTTGTGTTTGTTACTATTGGCTTACCTTGCTTGTCCAGCCAGCCTTCCTTGAGCAGCACGGTGCCCGACGCGCCTGCACCGAGCGCAGCTGCTGCAGAGGACGACGAGGACGAAGAGACGGACGAGGTCGAGCCGAGCGAGGGCAGCGAGAGCGTCGAGAGTGACTCCAACCCCAATCCTGCTGCTCCTGCTGCTGCTGCTCCTGTTGGTGCGCCTGTTGCTGCCGGTCCGGTGACTGCGACTGCGCCTGATGGTGAGGCGGACGGTGAGGACAACGGCGCTGCGGCGGCGGCCGTCGACAGCGGCGGCGCAGATGCGGTGGGCGAAGGCGGCTGCTGCTGGCTCATTGAAAAAACAACACAGAAAAAAAAAAAGAAAAAAAAAAAAAAGAGTGGTTGTGGATTTGACTTTTGGAAAGTGATCTGTGATTGGGGCGCGGGGGTGGGGGGTGGGAGGCCTTGTCTGAGAAGGAAAGGAGATGACATGGTCTTGAATGATTGAGGAAGTGGGGAATGGGAGTGTCGGATGGAATTGAGCTGTCTTGGAAGTCGAAGCAAAGGAATTGGAGACAGCTCAGCCCCAACGCCATCCGAGTGTCGTAGTCTCGCTCAGAGATGGTGCGATGGTACATCCGTGAGAAGACATAGGGAACCGGGGTACAATGTTTGCCATTCGAGAAGCGATTCGTACTTTGAAAGGAGAAAGCTGTCGTTTCAAGCAAAGATTGATTTTATTCAGCGCTGGCTTGATTTGATCCGCATCGACAACGAACGAGAAAGAGCTCCTGTTGATTGATACTGCTGCTGGTGTATTTGTTAACAAGATGAAGGGAGCAACGATTACGATAAATCCATCTGAGGCCGCGTGGATCGCGCAGTCCAGATTCGAATAGTCGTGTCGGCGGAGGCTGTTGCAAGAATGGGATCCATTGGGTGGAAATTGACAGCGTACACACGGTCGGAATGGCCTTCGAGTTTTTGAATGAGCTCGTGCGAACCAGCTGGGCCGCCCACGTCGAAAATGTACGCGGCAACGTCTGCGCTACCGGTCGCCAACAGCAACGTGCTATGAACCGATCGCTCCTTGTTCTTTGTGCTGGTGTGACAAACGGCGCAACCCCAGACGTAAGCAAGTGAGCAACAAGTCCATCTGCGGGTCGACAGAAGCTCTCTCGAGCATTGTGACGGCACGCCTTACTCTTCCAAGGCAGCATTTGATTCGAGCACATCGCTCAGATCATCCGTCGCCGACGATTGGGATTGAGCAGTTCGATCTACGAACGCAACATAAAATTCAGTCACCACGCGACCCGAAATTCAACAAGACGACGCAAATGTGCACAACCACAAAAAACGACGTCCACTCACGATAAATGCCATGGAAGAAGGAGCTTTTGATGGGCCAATTCTTGTTAGCGTGGCCTTTAACAGCATGCTGCAAACTAAGAGGTGTCTTGGGAGGCATTGATCCCCGATTGTACACTCGCAACACTGTCAAACGAGGGGTAAGCGTTGGTTTCACACAATCCGACCAAAAATCGCCATGAAACCTGTCAAAAACTTTACCATTGTCGTAGCTATTGACTGCAAGATACCGCTCTTCCTCTTCATCTGTAAGGCGCAAGGAGAAATCGATGATTAGGGCTCCAATCTACCTGTTGATGATTGCAAAAACTCAACAACTCACCCGACTCGGTTTTGCGGTAGGACATATGAATGTGCGAAATGGCTTTTCGCGTTTCGTCGTTGAGCACGCTCGCGTAGACACGAGCATTGCGCACGTCCCAGGTTTTGAGGCTTCCTTGTGAGTCACCCGACATGATGTACTCGCCGTCACGAAAGACAACACTACCAACGAGCAGCGCAAATTCACCCAAAGTAAGCCAATCTGATGAACCGATTCAGCCCACGACAACGGTACCCGACTCCAAAAGGCACGTACAGGGCATTGACCATGCCTTCAACGGTGGCAAACTTGGATGCCGGCTCAGCCTGCCGCCGATCGATGCGGTAAATCATATTGCGGCTTGTGCCGACATACATGATGTTGTTATCTAGAGGAGAAGCAAGCACAATGAGGGTTTGCACTTCACACACAGACCAACTAACTCAAGACACCACAAGAAAAACTAAAAACTCCTGCATACTCGTTGGATCGACTTTGACTGTCATGGCACACCCGGCGACCTCGTGGGTCGAGACATGCTTGGAGCCGTTGACATCCCACAATTTGACGCTCTGGTCATAGGACGCAGATGCAAGCATGGTGCTGTCGTTCGTCCAGCAGAGATCGGCGACATTCGTGCGATGGCCTTCAAACAACGCCAGCTGCCGCTGCAGCAGCGAATCCCACACGCGAACCGTCTTGTCCAGCGATCCCGAGGCAAGCACTTTGCCGTCAGGTGAGTATTGCACCGCGTAGACAGCTGCCGTGTGCCCCTACGCGATGCATGTTATCCAAACGCGGGTGAGAGAACGCAAATTCTCAAAAATCATGTCACCCGTCATCACCCTCCCCCCCTCAAACCCTCCACTCACCTTCAGCTCGTGCTTGTAAGCAAAGTGCCTGCCGTCACGGAGCCGATCGCGAACCGTAGTGACGGAATCTCGCATCCCGCCGCCGGATTGAGAATTGATTCCGGTTGCAACGGCCGTGTGATGCACCGCTGGCTGCTGCTGCAACGGATATGACGACGACGACGATGCCAACGAAGATGACGCTTGTGCTGTCGATGCATCGTCTGCAGCAGCGAGCGCGTATGGCTGGGCGGTCGCTTTGGGCGTCCCCGATTGAGAGTTGGGCGCGGATCCGAGGTCCAACCCCGCCGCCGTCCCATGGGCATTGGCAGCGGCATGCACACTTGCACCTCCAGCATGAGCGGCAGCGGCCTGCGGGTCGCGGCCTTGGCTGTACTGCTGCATTTGAGGCGAATTGGAGACGCCGCGCTGGGACTGGCTCGGCTGCGGCTGCGAGGACGCCAGTGCGGCTGCCTGGGCCTGCGGGGGCTCGAGCACAGTGTCAATGTCGAAAACGGCGGAGGCGGCGGCCGCGGCGGCCTTTCCAGTGCGGCGATCGCGCTCGGTCAGCATGTCCACTCTTTAGTATGAACGCGAGGCAAGGAAAAGGTAGGTTGAACGTCATGCAAATAGTTAAGATTCAGTATAAAATATGACCCGCTTTAAACTCGAGTTCCTGCGAATTCGTCCCTTTCACCCCCCCCCTTCCAAGCAACCCTGCGACCCCGCCGCTCAGCCAACAAACTCAGCACACTCAGCGACGCATACTTGATGCTGAGGTCGAAAACGGCCTTCCGGAGCCCGCGGTTGTCCCGCTCGAGCGACTCGAGCTTGGCTTTGAGCTCTCGGTTCTCCTTGGCAAGGGCTTCGACGGCCTGCTTGTCCTGCTGCTGCTGGGACTGCAGCAATGACGTCGACGGCGCAATGCTGGAACTCGCGCCGGCTGAGATCAGCGAAGAAGCGCCGGAATTGGAAGGAATCTGAGAAACTGGCTTCCGCGCGAGCGACATTTGTTTGTTTGTTTGTTGATGTTTCTCAGATGAACAAGATTAAAAAAGATAGACTGAATTCATTGTCAGAATGCAGAAAATCAAGGTGAGAGTGCTTCAGCGATCGCGTTTCGCTTCTTCATCACCAATCTGCTCCCTGTGTTCAGCCTGTTCATCTCCATTCTCGTCAGCACACATGCTGTCATACTGTTCCAATAATCATGAACTCGGGATTTTCTCTTACTCGAGCACTCCACTCTTATTCTTGACTTGATCATAGATCTATCATCAGATTTCCGTCATGGTCATCGTCAGACGAGCAAAACGATCTGAAGTTGACATTTCGACAGCATTTATGGATGCGTGACTTGAACAGCAGCAACAACAAACATCAACAACAACAGCAAGCAGCAACAGCAACATCTACAGCTACAGAACATCATCAACAAGAAACAACAGAAAGGCTCACGGAACAAAAGTCTGGTTGTATTTGCCAGTTTCAAAGGCGGTCGGAGGGACGCGGCAAATCATGCACTTGTCTCGACGCTGTATCATTTCTTGAGCACATGCAACGCAGACACATGCGTGGCAGCACGGCATCAGCTTGGCATTCGTCGGGGCGCTCCAACAAAGCAAGCACTCGCGATCACTGTTTTCGATCGGCTCGTCCTCATTTACTTCAGCTTCTTCCCCCGACAATCGTCTCAGGACCTCGCCGAACGATGGTCGATAGACTCGTGCGGGATCGAGGCAATCAACCGCAAGCTCGGCGATGACTTGAACCGACTCCTTGTCTTGACTGCTCCAGTCAACGGCTTTGTCAAGCAGTGCATCGATTTTACGGCTCCGCTTCAGCTGGTGTCGAACGGTAGACATCAAGTCGATGCTGGGCTGCTGTCCAGTAACGAGCTCAAGCAGAATCATGCCGTACGAGTACACGTCAGTTTTGACGGAGACCTTGCCTTCGTGTTGGTACTGTGGGCAAATGTACTGAAGGGTTCCTTGAACAGTCTGCGTACGAATGTAACTGTGCGCATCTACTTGAGCTGGCGCAGAGCGCGTCAGACCAAAGTCGGCGACCTTTGCGTTGAAGTGAGCGTCCAGAAGTACATTGTCTGTCTTGAGGTCCAGGTGGAACAGCGGCTGACGCGGAATGGCAGTTTGCACAAAGTGCATAGCATTTGCAATATCGGTCGCAATATTTTGGCGTTGCTGCCAGCTCAATGCAGGCGTGCCACCCTTGCGATCGAGACGGTCGCGAACAGAACCGTTGGCCATCAGTTCGTAGACCAAGCAGCGCTCGTTGCCTTCCTGGGTATAGCACATGATGGTGACGATATTCGGGTGACGGAAACGCGAGAGGGCTTCGAGCTCTGCCTCGAATTGAGCGACGCCTTGGGTTGAATCCGCTGCCAAGCGTTTGACAGCAACTCGCTGACCGCTCCAGACTCCAGAGTAGACGCTGCCAAATCCTCCTCCACCAATGCGCTTAGACTCTGAAAACTGCGCTGTGGCTTGTGACAGAACTTGCAACGACACTCGCGGAATGCTGGAGAGGATGGGGACAGCAGAGGTTGTTGGTGGTGCTTGGCGCTCGAGTTCGAGCTGGGCAATGCGAGCTTGCAGTTGACGGATATCCTGATGCGCGCTTGACTTGGAACTGGACATTCGTAACGTTGCAGGTTTGGGAGGACGGGGCGGAGGCGTCGGAGCAGAAGCAGCGTAGCTGGAACTTGGAGCCGCGTGTGGCATGCCGGCTGCAGAACGGGCAACTTGCGGATCTTTAGTTGTTGGAATGGTGGCCCGGACTTGAGCGGCGCGAGACGCCATCTCCTGTAGTTGAGCAGGTGACGGCTTGCGCTGATCGTCCGTCCTGTATGACAGTCCAACGCAGGTCAGTGCAGCGCTCCATCTAACTGTGATTGCAGAGCCAGCATGTCAAAATTACGAAAGGTTGCATGTTCTGTTGCCGACTTGTTTCAAAGCATTGATGCCATTTTCGGAAATGAAGTTCCTTTCAAGACTAGTAGTTTCGGAATGTAGTTTCAAGTTTGAGCGCTAACACACGCACGATTGGAAGTCTGAAGCGCAATTCAACTTACTTGAGCGCCTTCAGCGTCTTGTTCGCTTTAAGTGCCTCGGCAATCGCCTGCGCTCCAACATCGCCAATCAGATTGTTGTCCAGACTGTTCATCCCTTCCATCAGTGATCACTCGTCTGAATCGCTCACTCACATGCATTAGCAAGAGTGACATAGATTACAAGAGCCAAGTCAGCGTCGTGTTCACTTTGAGTGCTTCAGCAATCGCTTGCGCTCCAACATCGCCAATCTGATTCGCACTCAGACTGTTCATCCCCTCCATCAGTGAGCACTCGTCTGAATCACCCACTCTCATGCACCAACAAGAGTGAGATGCCTTACTAGAGCGTAGTCAGCGTCGTGTTCACTTTGAGTGCCTCAGTAATCGCCCGCGCTCCAACATCGCCAATCTGATTCTGTTGCAGACTGTCCATCCCCTCCATCAATGAGCACTCTTCTGAATCCCACTTGCATCCACCAACAAGAGTGAGATGCCTTACTTGAGCGTAGTCAGCGTCGTGTTCACTTTGAGTGCCTCAGCGATCGCTTTCGCTTCTTCATCGCCAATCCGCTCTTGATCCAGACTGTTCCCCTCCATCATCGTCAGCACACTCGCGCTGTCAACACTGTGTTCCAATCAACTCGGACTTTTATCTTACTAGAGCTGTCCACTCTCATTCTTGACTTCATCGTACAACTGACGCTGTCTCTGATTCGTATTCTGATCTAACAGCACGCTGGGACGGGCTTGAGCGGCGCGAGACGCCATCTCCTGTAGTTGAGCAGGTGACGGCTTGCGCTGATCGTCCGTCCTGTTTAAAATCCAACGCAGGTAAGTGCTGCTGTCCATCCAACTGTGATTGCAGAGCCAGCATGTCAAAATTACCAAAGCTTGCATGATCTGTTGCCGACTTGATTCAAGGCCTTGATGCCATTTTCGGAAATGAAGTTCCTTTCAAGACTAGAAGTTTCCGTAATTTAGTTCAAATTTGAGCGCTAATACACGCACGATCGGAATTCTGAAGCGCAATCCAGCTTACTAGAGCTCCTTCAGAGTCGTGTTCACTTTGAGCGCCTCAGCAATGGCCTGCGCTCCAACATCGCCAATCTGATTCTTGCCCAGACTGTTTATCCCCTCCATCAGTGAGCACTCTGCTGAATCACCCACTCTCATGCACCGATAAGAGTGAGATGCCTTACTAGAGCGTAGTCAGCGTCGTGTTCATTTTGAGTGCCTCAGCGATCGCGTGAGCTCCAACATCGCCAATCAGATTGTTGTAAAGACTGTCCACATCCCCCCATCAATGAGCACTCTTCTGAATCACCTACTCTCATGCATCAGTCAAAGGGAGATGACTTACTAGACCGTAGTCAACTTCGTGTTCACTTTGAGTGCCTCGGCAATGGCCTGCGCTCCAACATCGCCAATGTCATTCTCTTGCAGACTGTCCATCCCCTCCAATGAGCGCTCTTCTGAATCGCCCACTCTCATGCACCAGCAATGGTGAGATGACTTACAAGAGCTCAGTCACTGTATTGTTCACTTTGAGTGCCTCAGCAATCGCCTTCGCTTCTTCATCGCCAATCTGACCTAGCTCCAGGCTGACCATTCCCTCCACTCTCGTCAGCACACTCGCGCTGTCAACAACTGTGTTCCAAATCAACTCGGGCTTTTCTCTTACTCGAGCTCTCCATTCGCATTCTTGACTTCATCGTACAACTCGCGCTGTCTCTGATTCATATTCTGATATAGATCTAACAACATTTTGGAAGATTTTTGAAAAAAAAAAAAAAAAAAAAAAAGACTAGAGATCTCATCTCAGTCCTCAACCTATCATCTCTTTCCCTAACGATCGACACAAGTACCTTCGTGGTCGGCTTTCACGTTCATCGTCAGACGAGCAAAACGACCCAAGTTGAAATCGACATGCAATTTTGACTTTTCCGTTGAAGCAAGGCAGCTCAGCGTTCGTCTTGAACCAGCAGCTGAGCGCGTTGCGCTTAGTCGTTCAAACCGACTCTATTCGTTTTCTAATCTCCTCTTCCCCTCTTTACTTGCAGCGCGAAATTCAGCGTGGATTGGCGATGCGATGGTAGCACAACAGAACGAAAATGAGAATTGATGCTTGTGGGCGCAATGTTTGGACCGCTCTGTTTGATTTTGAGAGGCACCAGTCTGACAATGCACCGAGGCATAACCCCAAAGCAACGACGGTTGGTATTTCACAGCGAGAGGCCTCACCGAACAAGTTGCGACAATATCGGATACACGATCAAGCGTTTCGCTTCTTCATCACCAATCTGCTCGAAGCACAGCACAACCATCACATTCAGTACCGACTCGTACCTGTTGCGGGACGTTGTGCTTTCATCAAACGGTACACAAATGGGGAAGAAGCCTCGACTCGGCTGATTGAGAAACGCACGGCAAAAGGTTGTATTGCTGATCAACGAAACATTGGGGTTTTTCAACAAGGACCTCCATGAAGTGGATTACGAGGCAGAAACAATCACGGGTTAGGTTGAGCTAGCATAAACTTCTGCGGGATTTGCTTAACAGTGAGCAGGGCTCCGAGTAGGTGCTGAACCAGGAAAGTAATGCTGAACGGCGGCAAATTTCGCTCTCGTCGCCTTCCAGGTGAGCAATTACATGTACCTCTGTATTGTCAACTACAATATATAGCTCGTTGCATGTTCTCATACTGCGGAAGGACTCCAAGCTCAAGTGCCTCAGCAGAACGGTTGAAAAGTTTCATTGTTTTTGTTTGTCAGAGTTGAGCAACCTTTCTGTATCGCTTCACGAGTAAAAGCTGCCAACTCCAGTGCAACACCATATGTAAGACGTAGTGTTTTCCATGTATTTATGCAATCTTATGCCCCAAATCGCAAGTCGCTACAAAAATTGTAATTATGGCTTTCCTTTGGTTATTGTGCCTTAAAAAACTGCAGTGCTTGATTTTGTTGTTACTTTGAGCTACATGCCTTTTACTCGGTCAAATCTATTAAATTCTATAGTGGTAGTCTAATGCTATAGCTATGATTGCTTATTCGTGCCGCCCCTCGAGTCCAAGCCTCACCGCAATGTTTGAAAGTTTCGCTTGAATCAAACTGCTACCCGCGAGCACCTCTTATCACCGCTTTCACTTGCAATCAAGCAACAAACATATTTCCATCTTAACGAGCTTGTCCAAACGCGCGCCATGAATGCGGACATGTCTCATCAACGCGACACAACGCACCACTTTCAATCTTCCTTCAACTTTCAACGTTTGTTACTGTACTCAGCCTTTCCACCTCCACATTGACTTTCCATCTATATTCCGTCGTCACTTCTCATTATTCTCATTTATCATTATCTCGCTTTCTCAGAAAGCCGCCTTCCTAAAATGGCCGCTTCGCCATCGTCGACGCCATCGCCACAGCACCACCACCACGGCCGCGCGCACCACGCTCCTGTGGCGCATCCCATGGGCTCTGATGCATCTCCGTTGAGTGCGGCGGACGCGGCGTTCCAGGTGTTTCTGCTCGCTGCGCAGCTGGGCCGCCGCGACGACCTCGCCGAGCTCCACGATCGCCTCGCCAGCCACCCGTCCCAGCTCCAGGGAAGCTCGGCGGGGACCTCTGCTACCCATGGCCAGCGCGGCGGCGGCGGAAGCGCGAGTTCGAGCGAAGTCAAGTCGAGGCCACGATTGCTCAATCGTGCTCCCAATGCAAGTTCAAGCACTTTACAAGTACATGGCACTACTGGCCAAGGACGAGGTGTTAGCGATATCGTCAATCGCACAAGTGCAAGACCAAGTGGCTCTGGAATTACTGCATTAATGCTGGCTGCCACCGGTGATCACATCCATGCAGCGACGTGGTTGCTGGAACAAGGCGCGCAGGTCAATGCAGTCGATGCCGAGTCGAACTGGTCGAGTCTACATCGTGCGCTGTACATGGGCCAGATTCAAACAGCAATCCTGCTCATTGCGGCAGGCGCAGACGTCCATCTGAAAGACGCTGAAGGGATGACTCCGTTGGATTTGATTGCGCGAGATCGCGAGTGGCCCTTCCGCGTTCGACCGACGCCAGTGGCACCGCTGGCCCTTCCACTACGACGCTCGTCGCCTGTCGTGGGTGATGCTGCCTTTGCCTCTTCTCCAGCTGCCTCCGACCAGCATGAATCAGCATCTCTCTCGTCTGCCGCGTCTGCCGATGAACCAGCTCCTTCTTCATCATCCTCCGTTTTCGACAAGCCATCATCCGCATTGGCATTCTATGACATGCTAATATCCACAGAGCAGCTGCTGGAGGGCGCAGACGTATTCTCGTGGGGACTCGATCGAAACTACACGCTCGGACATGTTGGGGCGGAAGACCGAAACCATCCGGATCGCGTGGACGCCTTCGTTCGCATGGTCCCCCGAGCCCGAATCGTCTCTGCGGTGACGTCCAGCTTTCACTCGGCCTTTCTAACCGATGCAGGCGAGGTTTACACTTGCGGGTTTGGCTTGGGAGGCCGCCTTGGTCACGACTGCGATGACACTGTCATTGTGCCTCGCCGCGTTGGTGGACTGCTCGACGGCAAGGCCTGCGCGGCCGTTTCCGTTTCGCGTGACAACTCGGCAGTGGTGACCAGCAAGGGTGAGGTCTTTACGTTTGGCAGCAACGAACACGGCCAACTGGGCGTAGCTGGCCTTCCTGTTGGTCCGCACGCCAACTGCCCAAAACCGCAACTCGTCAAAGCGCTACGAGAACGCAAAGTCCCCATCATTGGCGTTGCCTGTGGGCGCACCCACTCTGCGTTCTATTCCGAGCAAGAGCTGTACACTTGTGGTCAAAACTTTGGGCAGCTCGGTAAGCAGTCGATTGAAAATTGTGGAGCTAGTTCCAGATGTCTGACATGAATCCGCCTGTGCTGATGTTGTTGTCGTTCAGGCCATGCTCAAAGAGACCCGCGCATTTTGGCACCCAAGGCCGTCCCAGCAGTCGCTCCAACTTCGGGACGCATTTCGCAAGTCGTGGCTTCTGACACGTTCACTGCGTGCCTGACTTCGGTGGGAGACATTTTCGTTTGTCACAGCTATGCCGTTCATCGCCTCCGACTTCCCACGACGTGAGTTTTTTGCGAGTTTTTTTTTTTTTTTTTTGCTCCGGCTCGATCGACAACGTCTAATTTCTCGAGCTCACTTCTTTTGATTCGTGCCTTCAGAATCTTCCGACCAAATATCGTCGTGTTTCGCCAGCGGAAGCCAGTGCCATTTCGAATTGTTGCTGGACATGGCTCGTCTCTCCTTTGCGTTGCAACGGATGGTTCACTGTTTATTTGGCTTCCTTGGCTGGGCACGCAATTTGTGCATCTGGCTTTTGGTAGCCAGCGCGCTCTCAACGTGATTGATGTGGCGATGGGTGTTAATCAGATGGCCGTCGTGAGTGGTAAGGAGTATTGTTCACGCTTGTGTGGTACTTGAGGTCTGAGCCGTTATTCTTACTTTTATTTGTTTGTTTGTTTGTTTGTTTGTTTGGGGGTTTTTTTGGTCTGATTCGTTCTAGCGGAGGGAAATGTGTATGTGGGAAACAGCCCAGATCTCGATCGCATGCTTGCCAAAGCAAAGGCACTCGCCACGAGCCACAACCTCGTTCCCGCGCCATTCACGCTTCACCCTTCTTTGGTCGACGCGCTGACCGTCCCAACGCTAAACGTCTACCGCACTCGCAATTTGCACCGGACGGTGTCCGTGTCGTGCAATCCTCAAGGATCGCACTTTCTTGCCGTGACGAGCGCCACCATGTACGCGCGCGGCCCAGATCGTGTCAAGGTTTTGCCTTCGCAAGCACGCACAGATTTCGGGGCGTTGCTTACGTCGCATTCCAGCTTTACGAGTGACATGCACCTCGTATCCTCTGATGCAGAGATTTATGGCACCATACCCGCGCATACTGCAATTCTCGCGTCCCGGGCACCGCAATGGTTTGGCGCGTTGGAAAAGGACGAAGCGCTCACACAGGAGCTCGCGGCTGCGGCGGCAGATCCCTTCGCTCTGCCGCAAACATCGTACGAATTGATTGCTCCCACTCCTTCCAGTGCGCATGAAGAAGGCGAGTCTCCGACCAAGTCTGTGATGGAAGCCTTCCTCGTGCCCGAGTTACCTCAGGCGGCGTTGCTTGCCCTGCTCGAGTATCTCTACACGGGGACTTGCGACCTGCTTGAGCTCCCTCTTGAGTCCAAGCAGCGTCCCACCACGTCTCAGTCAAGGCAGGCTTCAGGCAAGGAAGGCGGCGGCAAAAAGAAGGGCAACAAGGCACGCTCGTCCTCCCAAGACCATTTCACGGCTCCGCCGAGCGACGCGGACTCTGAGCACCAAGCGTTGACATCTCACGAGATCGCGCGCACGTTGTGTGACTTTTCACTCAAGCATGGAATGACCGAACTGCACACCTTGCTCAGCTCCAAGCTCGAGACCCGCTACATGGGTCGCCGTTCGCTGAGGGGTGCCATTCCGACTTTCCGAGTAACCCTTGGCACGCCAGATGTCGACTTGCTCAGTGCCGAGGACGAACACATTCCCGTGCACAAGGCGATTCTTGTCGCTCGCTGCGAGTACTTTGCTGCCATGTTTGGCTCGCCATTTTGGTCGGAAACGGGCGCCGCACGGCCGGCATTGGGACTACCATCGCCTACACCGCTGCGTGCACTGACGGTGCTGGTCGACTACATGTACACGGACAGCGTAGATTTGACTGCACGCGATCCCGTCTCTGGCGCGTTCGCCGTCAACGTTCCACTCGCATTCGAAGTGCTTGTCGTCGCGAACGTCCTGCTCCTCGAGCGGCTGAAATCACTCTGCGAAGGGGCATTAGCGACGTGCGTCGACATCAAGACCGTGGTGTCGTTCTTGGACATGGCGGCAGTCTATCAGTGCACCCAGCTCAAGGAGGCGTGCCTCTCCTTTATTTTGCACAATTTGGAGGCTGTGCTCGAAGCACGCCAACTCGAGTCGCTGCTTGGAGGCAGCAAGCCCGCCAATTTGACGCCGGTCGAGTCTGGTCTTTCGAGCGACTCGCCATATGCGAACGACGCCTTTTTCGCCGACTTGCCTGAGCTGGCCGAAGATGCGAGCGAGAAGATTTTAGATGAGCTTGGGCGTCGGTATCGCAGCACCCTGCCTCCTACAAGGCGGCCCACCCAAGTGGACTTGATGTCATTCCACTCTGCTGCCGCTGCAGCCATTCCCCAACGCTCGGCCGAAAAAATGCCTGCTGGATCCATGCGCTCTTCTGCGAACGGAAAACGCGCGGCAGGCGCTTCCACTAGCGCTCAGCACAACGACTCTGATGAGGAAGCTCCGCCAGCGCCTGTAGCGCACGACGGTGATCTTGCCCGTCAACTCCAAGAGCAGGAAGATGCCGAGTTTGCTGCAGCCCTCGCAGCCTCGTTTGTGGAGCTGGATGACGACGAGCGGCAGCAGCGAGCCGATCAGGCTCAGCGACAACAGCAAAAGTCTCGCAAGAAGGCTGCCAAACTTAGCGATCGCCAAAAGCAGCAAGCCGCCCAGCTGCAGGAGGAAGTGGCCAAACGCAAACAAATCCAGCAGCAAAGCCTGGATGTGGAGGAACCTGCTGGGCCCGTGGCGAAACCCAAAAAGGGAGGACGCGGCATTCGCGTCGACCTGAGCAACCCAGACGAGGCTTTGCGAAAGATTGCAGGTGGCGGTGATTCTCCGCCGTTGCCGACCGTCACCTCGGATTTGCCGACACCAGCACCGTGGGCGGCGACGAGTGCACCAGCTGCTCCTGCAACTGCGTCCACCGTGGCGGGCAGCAAAGCCGGTCGTGGGGCGGCTGCGAGTTCATTGCGCTCCATCATGTCTGAGCAACAACAACCAAAGCAGGCACAAAAGCAGCAGCCAACTGTGCACACCGCTCCGGTATCCCAGCCCGCCAAGGCTGCTCAGGAGAAACCAGTCCCAGACGCCAAGTCCAAGAAGGCTTCACCGGCGGCGACTACTGCAGCATTACCTGGTGCCGCAGTCGCGTCAAAATCTGGTACAACTCCACCACTACTACCTTCAAGTGTTCCTTTGAGCCCCGCTTCGCCGCAAACGGCAGCCAGCATTCTCTTTGCGCCCAAGTCGCCGGCGGCCGCACCATCAGCCCAAGCCGCCTTGGAAACCTGGGCAGCCAAGGGCAGCGATCGAAAACTGTCACAACGGGAGCGCAAGCGGTCGCAAAGCCGCGATGTCGCCGAGCACACGGAGCCTGCCGTTCCGGAATCTCGGACGGCGACCGCTGGTGCTTCGGTCGCCTGGAAGTCTGCTTCGCCTGCGGCAGTCCAGCAGACCCTGTCTACCAACCATTTCCCGTCCTTGGGCCGAGCACCAGCGGTTGCACCATCACCAGCGTCGCCTGCCAAGCAAGTTTCCTTGACCCAAATTCATCAAGAGCAGCGCCAACTCGCGTACAACGCCGATGCCGTCAAGCGCAAGGCGCTCGATTTGATCCAGCTTGAAGAGAAGGCCATTGCTGCCATTGAGGCCTTCTACGCGCATCTGAGTCTGGAGGAAGAGACGGACGAGATGATTGTCATTGAGCGCGTTGTCGGCTGAGCGAAACCATTGTTTCAGTTGCCCCTGCTTACTATTACCAATCATTGTTGCATCTAATCCACCATTGAGGCATTCTATGCGCACCTGAGTCTGGTGGAAGAGTCGCACGAGATGATTGTCATTGAAACCTTTGTTTCAGCTGCCCATTTGCCCTTGCTTATTCCCAATCATTGTTGCATCCAATCCAATCGGGCTGCCATGATTTGACTGCTGTTTATCTCTCCGTGGTAGAATATCTCCGTGAACTGAACAAATCATTCGCAATGACGAATCCGTCCGTTCCCGACCGACTCTTTTTTTGTTGAAACGGTTTTTGTCGTTCAACCGCGGTCGCACATGAACAATGATACCCCGGCTTGTTTTTTTCCTTGTTGGCTAGTCATAGTGCCAGCATAGCATGTCGCTTTCACCTCCCTTTGCAACTGGACTCGTACTTGTCTGATCCTATTCCCACGAGGTCGCGCGACCGAACAAAAAGCAAATGCTCCGTGATTCGGCGGTCGCATTTTCCGCCTCTCCCCGCCTCTCCCCGCCGACGTTCCCGCGCCATTGAAGGTGGTCCTGATGGATGTCGAGTAGGGTCCAGTCTTGGCCCTGGAAGGCATCTCAGACGGAAGGTCGTCAAGCAGCAGAGCAACCAACGTTCTGTGTAGGGTCGTTTGGTAAAACTGTTGCTTCTTTCGGCTTCGATCCGTTCTCTTCCCTCTTTTGCCCCCTTCCTCCGCCTTTTCCGCCGTTTCCGCCGTTTCCATCTTGCAATGCTGCGATCCACATGTTTCTCTATTCTTCTTGCTTTTCCGCTTGCGTGTTGCTTTTTCCGCTGCTTTTTCCGTTGCCACAATCACGGAGATTTCCAGTGCGGTTTGTTTTAAACCCAAACCGTTTTTGTATGTTTGTAACATTCAGTCTTCATTTTGTTGTTTTTGGTAAAAGTTTCGAAAAAATCGACACTTTGACAAGCACGAAACGTTGTTGAGTGAAGAGTGAAGGAAGTGTTGAGTGAAGAGTGAAGGAAGTGAAGGAAGTGCAGGAAGTGAAGGAGTGGGTGAGCGGGAGAGTCGGCTCTCAGTCACAGTCATCTCAGTCAGCCGCTCAGACCTGTGTTTGGTGTCGCATTGTGGTTGAGATGGAGAAAAAGAGTCCAAAAAAATCGCCGGCTCACACGTCTCACTCGATTTCAGTCACACAACTGAATGTTTTTTGAACTTTTATTTTGCTGTCTGATTTTGCTCACTTGTACTTTGTGTTGAATTTGCTTCTGAGCAGAACATACAAAAAACCCAAACAAAACCTCGTTTGTTTCAAAAATTAATCTCGTTCGATTCTTTGTGCTTCTCATCCTGCTCGTGACGAACAATCCAAGCGACAACAACTCTACAAACATGTCCGCCGCACTGCAAAAGCTGTCCCTCTTCACCCCGACCAAGCTGGGCGCCCTGAACCTGGCTCACCGAGTCGTGCTCGCGCCACTGACGCGCATGCGCAACTCGCCTGACAATGTTCCGCAGCCCATGGCTGTCGAGTACTACAAGCAGCGTGCTTCCCAGGGTGGTCTGCTGATCACGGAGGCCACCGTCGTGTCTGCTCGCGCGCAGGGCTATCCGCTCACGCCCGGCATCTTCACTCCCGAGCAGGTCGCTGGATGGCGAAAGGTCACTGACGCCGTGCACTCCAAGGGAGGCTTGATTGTCAGCCAGATCTGGCACACGGGTCGCGTCGGCCACTCTGCCTTCACCGGCCAGCTTGCCGTCGCTCCCTCCGCCATTGCCATCGCCGATGGCTCCAAGGCGGCCACTATGAAGGGCCAGCTCGATCAGGAAGTGCCGCACGCACTCACCGAGGAGGAGATTCTCGGCGTCGTGGCAGAATTCCGTCACGGCGCCAAGCTTGCTCGCGAGGCTGGCTTTGATGGCGTTGAAATCCACGGCGCCAACGGCTACCTCATTGAGCAGTTCCTTTCGCCAAAGTCCAACATCCGTACCGACAAGTATGGCGGCTCTGAAGAGAACCGCGCCCGCTTCCTTTTCGAAGTCGTCGATGCTGTTCTGCAAGAGTGGCCCAGCGATCGTGTCGGCATCCGTCTGAGCCCCGCTGGTGACTCGTGCGACGTCTTCCACCCGACTCCCCTTGAGACCTTCTCGGCCGTCATCACTCGCCTCAACCAGTACAAGCTCGCTTACATTCACCTGATTGACCCGCGCGGCCAAGCCGAGCTCGTGCCCGTATCCAACGTTGCCAAACTCAGTGATACCTTGGCCCGTCTCTCCACCAGCCCCGTCATTGGCGCTTCGTCGTTCGAGCGCGAAACGGCCGATGCAGCGGTCGCAAGCGGCGCGTTCGCAGCCATCGCCTTTGGCCGCCACTTTATTGCCAACCCCGACCTGCCCGTCCGCTACCTGCTCGGAGCAGAGCTCAACCCTTACGATCGCTCGACCTTCTACGGTGGTAACGAGAAGGGCTACACGGACTATCCTTTCCTCACGCGCGAGCAAGCGACCGCGGGTCTGGCCAAGATTGTTGGTCAAGCAGAGGCCAGCCTTCCCCTGAGTGATAAGCTGGCTGCCTTGCAGGATTCGCAACAGACTGCCGTCGGCCTGATTGAGCCCGCATTGGCCCTTTAACAGTTATGATTTGTTTAAAATGATGTGTGGTGTTTTTTAACTGATATTTCGAGCTGATTTTTTTATAACACGCTTCCATACGCCTAGTAAAAGTCTTCTTCGTCTTCTGCGCCTTTGCCCTGTTGGTTGAGCAACTGTTGGCTGCGGTACATGTCGGCCACCTATATAGAACGCAAGGGGGGGGGGGAAACAGTGGCGGATTGATCAATTAAAACTCAGCGCCTGCTCAAAGGGTTTCAGACCAACGAACGCAGTGTCACGTACCTGACTCGCATTTGTCGCTTGCTCGGTGGATTTGTCGTCGCGGATGCGCAAAAAGCGTGGGAAGCGCAAGGAGATGCCCTTTTCGGGATCAACCTGAGAAAAAAAAACATAGTTTCAAACAACACATGAGCTGCGCAGTTTGGGCCTTAAAGATGGTTGATCAAGCGACCTACCAAGCCAGCTGCAGCCTTGTGGACGGGAGAGATGGAAAGATCTGCAGCCTTAACCTCCCACACCTGCGAGGAAAACATGACTGTCAGCATCTCGAATGATGACAACAACCACCGCTTCAGCAACAATGGCACTCTCACCTGGACCGTGTCAAACCAATCATCAGGAGCCAGTGTGTCATCTGCACGGTAGTAGGACTTTGGTCCAGAAATGACGTGGTCTTTGAAAAAGGTCGAGTGGCGCTGCAAATCTTCGTCGCTAAACCCAGTTCCGATCTGGAATGAGATATCAAGCATAAAGACGGTGAGCCCCGGCATCGGAGGACAAATTTCATAGCAACACATCATCCCAACGAACTGCAATGTTGTGCCATACCTTGCAGATGGACTGGTATTCCTCATTTTCCTCGTCGTAGCAAGCCAGCAAGAAACCGCCGTAAAATCCGGTTCGCTTGCCCTTGCCACGGTAGCCTCCAATAACAACCAGATCGAGCGTATCGCCGACACCGTCGAGGTAGTCCTTCTTGAGCTGTGTCGGACGAAGATTGGAAAATCAGGGATCAGCGCAACAAAAGCAGCCAGACATGTCCAAAGTTCAATTTGTTGACTCACTTTTAACCAGTTGTGGGATCGCTTGGCAATCTCATACGTGGCCTCTTGCTCGAGAGTCTTGACCATGAGACCCTCACAGCCAGCTGAGAAGGCACCCACGAGAACATGGTGCAATGAGCTGATGCAAATCCAAAGGGGCATCTCGACCCGGAACAATCACAAGAAAGACACGCACCTTTGATGGACTGGTCAAGGAACTCCTCAATCTGCTCGGTATTGGTGCCATCCATGGACGTGGCAAACATGATCTCGCCTTCAATCTCTGCAAAGTGCTCGCGCAAGAGTTCGCGCCGGCGTTTGAGTGGCTGTTTGACAAGGGACTGTTCGAGTCGAGACACGGGGAAATGAGTGTCAGAAGAACCGAAAAGGAGGGATGGAGCCACGAAAGCGAAATCAACACAACCTCGCCGTTCAGGTAGAGCAGATCGAACGCAAACAGGCAGACTTGCACTTTGATCTCGGCGACATCCGCGTCCTAGAGAGCGCGAACGTTGAGTCAGGGGTGGTCGTGTGTGGTTGCAGTTTCAGATTGAGCAATGAGACTCACCTTGCGCTTTCGAGTGCTGAGGACTTGGAAGGGCAGAATCTGCTTCTTTTCAGTGTCCCAGGCCACACTCTCGCAGTCGAGAATGTACGACTTGACAGTGTCCTTGAGAGACTGGAGTATTCAAACAGCCCAGATTGGTGAGCGGAGTTGAGACCGAGGACAGAAACAAGGCAATCGCTCACCTTGGGAATGCGCTCAATAATGTCGGGATATTTGGAAGTATTGTTTTCCGAATTGCGACTGTAGATGTTGACGACGCGGTCTTCCTTCATGTGAATCTGTTGGCGCAGGCGCAAGTGAGAGCGTTGCGCGACACATCCACACATCCAGGTTTAAGCAAAAAAAAAAAATAGCCTTGCCTGTGCGCGCTCGCCGTCGTACTTGTACTCGCAAGTAAACGTCATGCCTTCGAAGCGTTTGAGAACTTCAGACACACCCTTCGTGGGATGGGCGAGCATCGGCTTCAGTGGGATGCCTAAACAAGGACAACGCACGCGAGAAGAAATCAGTGACAGCAGCCGAAAACCGAACAAAGGGCACATGGACACATACCAGGTGTCAGCGTGCATCGGACTTGCAACTCCTCCAAGCCAACTTCAAGCAGCGTTGGGATGATGACATCGTAATTTGGCAGTTCGCTGCAAAACGGGGTGAAACGCGCAATGGTGAGAACAGAGACGAAGAGCGGGGGGCAACACGCAGACAATTACGTTCGCAAACTCCCAAACAAACCAGTGGACTTACCAGTAGACAGTTTTGACGGCCAAGGTGGCGCGCTCCAGCTCTGCTGCGAGGTCGGCCTCGCTCATGGATTTGCTAGCATCCACGACCTGAGCTTTCGCGGGATTGATGCGCGGTGGGGTGAGAAGAATCGCACGGGCAAGCGCCGCCAGAACAGACTGCTCGGCCAGTCCGATGCGAAGCTTGCCAGCGAGCGAACGAATGAGGAACATGGACTCTGACTCCTTGCAAGCAACAAGCATGGCCTTGATCTTGACAATCTTTTTGGACATGACACTGTGACCGGTCATGGAGGCGATTTCTCGCAGATTCTTAAACACGGCTTCCACAGTCAGAGTTTTGTGCGCAAACATGGTCTTTTGGCTGCTGCGCGACTCTTTCGCGACAATGCCGAGATCGCCCTTCGCTTCTGCGTCAGCTTTGATGCGGCGCATATCACGGCCAGTGGCGTCAGCGATGGCCTTCATGAGAAGAGATTCGCCAATGCCGAGTTCCAAGCCTTCATAGGGAGGAGCAATCTGCACAACAGCAAAGCACGAGTCAAAAAAAAAAAAAAAAAAAAAAAAAAGGTCGTCGCGGGCCTGAGAGCAAAGGGAGCGTCATTGGTGACTTACTCGGTTGGTGCACATGTAAACGCATCGAACGAGGTCATTCGGTGAGAGAATAATAACAGATCGGAAAAAGTTGGCCAACGTTTCAATGATTTTAAGGCTGTCAAAGCATGGGAACAATAAGACCGCTGCTGCTTTTTCACACGAATTCAGGCGCATGAGGCACATTCATCTGTCATAGACATACCGCTTTGTGGTGGATCCGATCGCTTCAAACGTCTTCGCCAACGCGGCGTACGGAACTCTGATGACAACATCAAGGAATATAAAAGTAAGCACCGGCAACGATGATACAACATCGACATCATCGACATCCTCACAGCTCATCCTGCTTCCAGAAGGCATCCTTGATGGGATGGTACCCAGGAGCGTCGGGAGTGTAATTGATGACAACCTCTTTGGCGGCCTGCTTGCCACCAAACAGGAACGACGTTGGCTTGGGCAGCTCTTGAGGAACAGGGTCTGCAGCGTCTTGACTCATGTCTTGCGCGTCCATGTCGAGCAGGGACTCGGCGGCTTGGTCTTCGTCGGCGGCGGCGACCGTCGCGGCTGACGGGTTGTCTTTACGTGGCGATGACGCTGGGGCAGCTGCATCACTCGTGTCCATAGCGGTTGCCGCACTGGCTTCAGCAGTGGTCGACTTTGATGCATGGCTGTTCGGAGCTGCTGAGAGTTTGGTCGCAGGGGCTGATTTGGTCGATTTGTCCTTGCTCGACGACGACTTGGCCGCAGCTGCAGCCGGCGCTGGCTTCTTTCCCAGAAACTCCATCATGCTCTGCGCCTTGTTGGACTTTGATGCAGCGACTGCAAAGCCGGTCGACGATGCCGGCTTGGCGGGACTTGCAGGCAAGGCCTTGGGTTCTTCGACTTCCATTGGCGTTGAGCTGTCGTGCTCAGTGGCCGGGGTCTGCTCGGCGTCGTCGTGAAGCACGCTGCTTTGGGCAAGCGCTGGGGCAGCGGTGGGCTTGACGGGAGCGGCTGCTTGATCTTCCTCCTCGTCGTCTGAAACGGCTCGGCGGCGTGTGGCTCGGGTCGACCGACCGCGTCCAAGCACCTCAGGCGCTGCCGAAGCAGCCGAAGCAGCAGCGGCAGCATCAGCAGCAGCACGGTCTTGCGCATCGCTCGCCTCAAGCGCAGCCTCCGCAAGCGTGGAGGTCTGGTCCTCGTCATCGCTCTCGTCGTCTGTGATCAGCCGCATCCGCTTTGGCTGGACGACCGCCTTGACCGGCGCTGGATTCTTGCTAGCCTGCTGTATTTTAGGAGCTGGAGCTGGAGCCGGCTCGGGTGCCGCGGGGGCGCCAGCGGGTCGCTTGAAGAACGATCTGCAAACAAAAAAAAAACGAACAAGAAGTTTTCCCGCCAAATTTTGAGTTTTCCCGCGTTATTTCATACATGTTGCATTGAGGGTGAATTTCGAGGGAGGGGGAAGGGGGGAAGCAGTCAAAATGGGTCGGATTCGACAAAAGATATGGTTTGTTTGATGAGCATTGGACGATGGAGGGTTGAGGGTTTGGAGAGATGCGAGTCAAGGATGATTGAGTGGGATTTGCATTGCAAAACCGTACGCAATGCCGCGCTGAGCCATCAATGAAGTGAGAGTGACCTGCATTTGGGGAAAAGGGTTTTTCGTGCTGTATTCATTTTGAAGCATTGTGTGCTGTTGTGATCACTCACTGAGCGAGAACACGTGCGGGATAAGTCGCTGCAAAACTCAATGGAAGAAGCACTGCAGGCACAAATACTAGGAAACAGACAGGAACAAGCAGGAAGCAGACAGGAACAAGCAACCAGCAGTTAGGACAAGCAGACAGCAAGCAAACTCTTCCGGATTCATCAACAGAAGCAAAGTCTTCCAGAAATCATCAACCCATGAAATCGGTTTCCATTCATCCCCGCTTCGGAGGAGCCTTCAGGTGCCCGTCCTAGACCTTCAGACCAATTGAAACCATTGAGAGGAGATGCTCCTGAGGGTCCAAGGCGCTCAATTGGCGGTCGCCACGGTGGTCGGTGATCGTGAGCGCGCGCCAAATATCAACATACTGCTCGTACGTGCAACGCGTTGGAAAGTCTGCATGCCAGTTGCTGATCCTCTGTGAAAGGTCCCATGTCTCGTAAGGAATAGCGTTTGCTTCAAGGACACGCTTGAATGTCTCCAGATGATGCGCGTCAACCGAGGCATTTTTGCTCAGTATGGTGAGAGCGATTTCTTGGTTGAGAAGCGTACGGAATTCTTGCGCAGATGTACCAGGGTCTCGAGCTAGATCAACAGAGTAATTGCTGGCTCGCTCGAGTGGAGCGTTCAAGATGATGGCAGCAGGGAAAAGGCGAGCGAGCGAAAATGAGTTCTTACCCCCGCCCCCTCTTTTTTTGGTTTCATTCTACGGGATACGATTGATCCTACATTCATTCTAGCATACTTTTCGTCAGTGATTCCAGACTTCTATTCCAAGTTTCAATCGTCAAACTAACTCGAAACCAAACAACAAAACTGACAAAAAAATCAGTCTTTTTTTATTTTTATTTTTTCAGGCAAATTTCTTGATACACAATGGTTGTTCAAGTAAGTTACTCGCTTTCTCTTTTGATTTTCCTTACGCTGCTTCTCACTGATTTTGCTTTGGTTTGTATCCCTTTTTTTTTTTTTTTTTTTTTCCTTCTTCTTCTTCTTCATCCTTCTGCGATCGCCCTCATCCTGCTCACCCCCCCCCGCTCCCCTTCCCTTTTCCCTCTGTCCCGTTTGTCCCTCTCAACAGTTCACCTCGCAGCAGGAGAAGGGTAAGCAAGTTCCCACTTCAGCCTGATCCATCCATCCATCAACCAAAGCCGAAGCAGGGCCGTCGAAATCAATCCCAAAATCCCCCCCCCCTTGAATCCACTGCCCTCCCACTGCCGCCAATGCTTTTTCGCAGCCTTCTCTTTGCTCGTCGATGGATCTCCGCTTCAACTTGTCCGCTTCAACTTTCATCTTCTTCCTCTTCTTCCTCAAACCTTTGCTGCTTTGTTCGATGGCTTTTCTGGAGTGTTTTTTTTTTTTTTTGAATCCTTTTTTTTTTTTCTCTTTTTTTTTTTTTTTTTTTTTTCGTTCGTTCGATCTCGCTTTTTTTGTTTCGTGTCGTCGCTCAGTCTTTTTGTCCATCTCCTGCGTTTTCCTTTACGTCGCGTCTGATCGCGTCTGATCGCGTCGCACTCGCGTTCCCAACAACAGCAGCCGACGTTGCCTTCAACAATCAAAAACATCCAACATGATTTATTTCTTTCTTTTTATTATTATTATTTTTATTATTTTTGCGGTCTTTTTCTTTAACATTCTCGTTTGTTTGCGTTCCGGTTTTTTTTTTTTTTTTGGGTTTTTTTTTTTTTTTGCTTTTTCGCTGATTTTTCTCGTTTCAAAAGGCTGACTTTCGTCATCGAAGACAAGCTTCGTCTTGCATTCGTTGCATTTCAGCGTCAACAATCGCGAAAACCGCTGCCTTGTTCGAAAAACGATCACAAACAAAAACAACGAAGGAAAAAAATGAAAAGATCGCTGTTTTTTTTTTTTTTTTTTTTGTCAATTTCTAATGCAAAAACCATACAAAACTGAAAAATCAAAAACCAAAAATCCATGGAAAAAATCAAACAAACGGTTTTTTTTTTCTTTTTTCCACTTTTTTGGTTTTCTTCTCTTTTTTTTTTTTTTTTCTTTTTTTCTGCTTTTTTTTTTTGCAAGTGAATCGTTTGTTGAAGTCGACATTTGAAGATTCTGTTCTGTGAAGATTGTTGGAGACTCGGTTTGGTTTTGGAAGAAGCGAAGAAAAACAACAAACAAGAGCTCGAAAGCGCGTTTTGATTGGAACAGCATTCGTTTCGTTTTCGATCGCTCTCTTTGCTCTGGTTTCCTAGCTGTTTGAATGGATCACTGCAGTTTGAAACAAGCAATCGAAGAACAGCAACAACCAAAAAAAAAAACACGGCTGGACCGTGTTGAGTTGGTTTGGATTGGATGTCCTTTGTTCGTTTTGCGCTCTGACTCACTGTTGATTCTTCTTCTTCTTCGCAGCCATCGAGCAAGCCTTCAACTCGATCGACACCGACCACAGCGGCAGCATTGACCGCGACGAGCTCGGCACTGCCGTCCAGAAGCTCCTCGACCGCAAGGTGACCGATGCAGAGGTGGACGAGATGCTCGCCAAGGCTGACTCTGACCGAAGCGGCAGCATCTCGCTTGACGAGTTCAAGGCCATGATGGCCGATCACCTGTCACGATCGACCAACTGGGGCAAGTTGCGCACTGCGCTTGGCGGCTATGTTGGTTTTGACCAGCTCCAACAGCAACAAAACCGCAAGGCCATGAAGCGTGGTTTCCAGTTCAACCTGATGGTTGTCGGCGAGTCTGGCCTCGGCAAGTCGACCCTCGTCAACACGCTCTTCCGAAGCAAGATTGCCCGCTCGACCCTTGCCGGTGCTGAGGACGCCAAGATCCCCAAGACGGTGGAAATCCACTCTGTCTCGCACGTCATTGAGGAGAAGAACGTCCGCCTTCGTCTGACTGTCTCGGACACCCCCGGATTCGGCGATCACATCAACAACGACGGCTCGTGGCAGCCCATCCTCGATCACATCAACAAGCTCAACGAAAAGTACTTTGCCGACGAGAGCGCCGTCGTCCGCAACATTGCCCCCGTTGACTCGCGCATCCACGCCTGCATTTATTTCATTGCCCCCACCGGCCATTCGCTCAAGCCCATCGACATTGAGTTCATGAAGGTGAGCGTTGCTGCTGGTTATGGCGGGGGAGGGGTGTCGTGGCTTGCAAGGGAAGCGTCTGTCTGAGAATGTATGTTTCAATTCTCATTTTCATGGTTGTAACCTGCTGTTTTTCGTTGTGGTTTTTTTTTCTGCAGAAACTCGACAAGTCGGTCAACATCATCCCCGTCATTGCCAAGGCTGACACGCTTACTCTTGAGGAGCGTGCCGCCTTCAAGGAGCGCATTGTTGAGGACCTCGACCAGCACGCCATCAACGTTTACCCCAACGTGAACGAGGACGACGACGAGGAGGACAAGGCTATCAACTCCAAGCTCAGCGAGCTCTTGCCGTTCGCCGTCATTGGCAGCGACAAGGAGGTCATTGTCAACGGCCAGGGCGTTCTTGGCCGCAAGACCAAGTGGGGCTTTATCGAGGTCGAGAACAAGGATCACTGCGAGTTCTCCAACCTCCGCGACATGCTCATCCGGTAAGTGGGGGGGGAGTTGTTCAAGATGGAAAAAGTCCAGAAAAAGGAAATGTGGCTCACCTTTTGTTTCTCTTTTATCTTTGGCCTTCAGAACCCACATGCAAGACTTGATCGATGTCACCCACTTCACTCACTATGAGAAGTTCCGTGCTGCCAAGCTGCGTGGTGGCGCACCTGCACCTGCTGCTGCCCCCGCACAGGCTGCCGCTCCCAAGGCCGTCGTGAAGGTTGGCGGCAACTCTGTTGCTGACAGCTCAATCTAAGCGAACATCAAGTAAAAGAAAAAAACTAAAGCCTTGGCTGATGTTATTTGGTCCCCTATTCCGAATGGGGTATGATTTCAGCTCGGTGACATGCTGTGTTTTGTTTTTTGGTTTGTTTGCTTTTGATCGTTTGGCTTTCTTGTGTGTGTGTGTGTGTGCGTGTGTGCGGTTTTGTCTCTTTCTGAGTCTGCTGGTTTTTTTTTCTTTTCTTTTTTTTATTAAAAACAAAAAATCGAGTCACACAACAAAACCAAAGCAAGAAAGAAGCGTTTTGTGAATGCATTGCACAGCCGTACTGAACGAAGCTGCAGTAAGTTCATTCTGTCCATCAGTGTAACGGGTGTGGAGCAGCTGTCTGAGTGCCGGCCTTTGGTTCTGCTTTCATTCTGTTTCAGATTCAAGCAACATGCGTTGTTCCCCTCGGTCCCCACCTCGAACTCATTCCACGTCCACTCCTCATCGCCTCATTTGTTGTCCACTTTGTCCCGTTTTGTCACTCGTCCCAGTCATTTTTTTTCTTTCTTCAAAATGGTACGGGGCAAAAAGAGAAGGCTGACCCTGTGGGAGTATATTCGTCGCGAAAACACAGCAAGGCAAGTCCGAGAGCAGCGAGCACGGGAAGTAGTAGTCGCATTAGCAGTAGCAGCAGCAGCAGCAGCAGCAGCAGCAGCAGCAGCAGCAGCCTCTGCGAGCGATGCTGCCGACGCGTCTTCCGCAGCCTCTAGCAGTGCCGCCAGCGAGCTCTCCCCAGCCGCCGTGGAGGCGATCGTTCAGGTAAAGGAAAAGGGAAAAAAAAAAAAAAAAAAAAAAAAACCCATTGTGACCTGTTGTTTGTTTTGATCTCAACTCCTGCTGTTGTATCAGAACATGACCAAGACACAGCGCGGGCTGTTCAACAAAGTCTGGAAGACGCGTGAACGTCTCTTGTAAGAAAAGGAAAAAAAAAAACGGGCAAAGTGATTTGGGAAATTTGCGGTGAAATGGAGAACAGTCTGAACAAGCAGCAGATTGACGATGCTGGAGCGGAGGCGGTTGCCGAGGCACTCAAAGTGTCGACGCTGCTGATTCTCGAGTAAGGCATTTTTCACTTTTTGAATGGCGCGTATGAGTGGGCGATTCAGCAGAGTGCTCACTGATGAGAGGACGGACAGGCTGGAAACGAATCAGATTGGCGAAGGTGGAGCGCGAGCAATTGCCGAGGCACTCAAAGTGAACACGCCGCTGACTACGCTCATGTAAGTCATCTCACGTTGACTGATGCATATGTGAGTGGGTGATCCAGCAGAGTGCTCACTGATGGAGGGGGATGTGGACAGGCTGCATCAGAATCAGATTGGCTATGCTGGAGCGCTTGCGATTGCTGAGGCGCTCGAAGTGAACGACACGCTGATTTATCTCGGGTAAGGCATATCACTTTGACTGATGCATATGTGAGTGGGTGATTTAGCAGAAGGCGTTTTAGAATTCTCACGGACGGAGAGGACGGACAGACTGAACGCGAATCAGATTGGCGCCGCAGGAGCGCAGGCGATTGCTGAGGCACTCAAAGTCAACAGGGGACTGATTCAGCTCTTGTAAGTCATTTCACTTTGACTGATGTTTGTGAGCGAGAGGCGCCGGCAGAACATTCAGAGTGGCTCACTAATGGAATCAAAACAACAGTTTGCATGAAAATCAGATTGGCGACGCTGGAGCGCAGGCGATTGCTGAGGCACTCAAAGTGAACAAGACATTGTGGCGTCTCAAGTAAGCCATCTCTCACTTTGACTGATGCATGTGAGGAAGTGATCCAGTAGAGGTCATTCCGAGTACTAACTGGTCGAGGGGACAGTCTGGACAAGAATCGGATTGGCGATGCTGGAGCACAGGCGATTGCTGAAACACTCAAAGTGAACAAGATGCTGATCGAGCTCAGGTAAGTGGCGATGCGCGGAGAACATGGAGCAAGAGCTTGCCAATTTGTCATCTGCTCACCCTATGAGCGATAGTTTAAGATGGAATTGCATTGGCAATCGTGGGAGTCAAGCGCTTGATGAGGCACGCAAAGTCAACGGTTTTAGAGAACTTTTGTAAGTTGTCCTTGCCAACCGAAGCCGTTGATGGCCATGCAAACTTCCTCGTGTCAGTGATCCGGCTGATTGCTTCTGTATCTTGCTTGCTCGTTGCTTAGTTCCGAACTGCAGATCAACCCTCTTGTTTTCTCCTGGCTTCCGCGAGTGGCAACTGCTGAAGACCTGCAGACCGTATTCTGTTTGCTGACTAGCGGGTTGGAGCTGGAGAATCAATCCGCATCGCTTCCAGCACTTCCAGCCGAGATTGCCGATATTATTATGGAGGACGCGCACTACTGGCAAGGCGTGCAGCACACCAGAGGAAATGAATTTTTCGAAGACAAGAACCACCCACCTCTGAGCGTTACAGTGCCTCGGGATGTCACTGGAAGCCCGATTCGTATGAAAGCGATTCAAGTGATTCGTGAGATGCAATTCCCCGACACCACACTTGGCGTTTGTTTTGAATTGAGCGTTCGAGATGGGCGAGGTGTTGCTCGATACCAGTGTGCTGTGAAACCAACTCGCATCGATTCAAGCATTGGCCTCGTGTTGCTCAGGCCAGGCAGCCATCCTATCTTTGAACAACTGCGCGAGGGCTGGGAGGTTTTGCTTCAACCCAGCGTCTATGGTATGCAGGTTGGCATCGAATCGCTTACTCTTGCATACATCTAGCACCAATCTGTGGAATATTAATCTTTTGGTGCAAACCGCAAGTCCATTCAAGGCTGGAAACAAAAAAAAAAACCGTGTTCTACGCAAGACTCGAAAGCAGACCAAGTTGCTTGCTTGGTTGTGATTCTCGTCACCTGCTTTGGAGCTTGTCCTGCTTCTCAATACATCCTTCTTGTTTGATAAGGAAAGCTCTGGTACATGGTCAAATGGACGGGTGTGGATGAGCCTGCCAATGACGCTTGGAGCGCGGTTCACGCTTGTCTTTGAAGTCGATTGCTTAGCCATCATTGTTTGTATCATTCTACCCAAGACTCGCATCTTCGTCGAACGATCTCTGACCATAACGATTTTAATTTAAAACACACTTTGCTTGATCAGTTCAACACAAAAACAAAAACAAATCTGATGATCGGCTTTTTTGATTTTTTTGTTTTTTCAATCGGTTCCTTTTCTTCCTCAACCCACAGCAATGACGCCGCACTTGCGACAGTCAGCAGCAAGTTGCTCGCTGCTCTTTGCTCTCCATCCTGTCAGTTTGGACTTTGTTTGTTGTTGTGGTTCATAATGGAGGGGGGTTTTGAAGTTCAAGATCGTTTTTTTCTTTTTCCGTAACAACAACAACAACAACAACAACAACAACAACAACAACAACAACAAACACACGCGCTCGCCTGCTCTCCGCTTTCCACTCTACCGTCCATCACGCTGTATCTGCTCATGACGGATGTTTGGATTCTGCTGCTGCTTCGTTGCGTATTTTATTTTGGGCTCTGATTGGCAGTCTATTTTTTTTTTTTTTTTTGTAATGCGTATATTTATTTGTTTATTTATTTATTTATTTTGGCTTTTTTATTTATTTTTTATTTTTATCGTTCTTTATCTTTTTTTTTTTTTTTTTACTTTCCCCCCCCCCTGCGACTTGCTGCTCATCCTTCTCCTCGACGCCCGCAGTCCGATGGTGTGCTTCGAATGGCGCTGTCTGGTGTTGATTCGGCCTCGTTCGGCTTCTTGGAACAGCTTGAAAGAACAAAACAAACAAACAAACAAATGAAAAAAAAAAACACAACAAACAAAAAAAAATGCATTATCATGACTTTCGCTTTCTGTTCGCTTTGCACGTTTGATGCGTCTGCCGGCCTCCGCTGCAAGCGAGGGCTGCGTGTCCAGCTGATGGCGGTGCAGTCGCTGTTGTCTGCACGACCCAACACGCGCCATTTGGCTGGACCAAAATCAAGCAGGCTTCCACCAAAACAAACAAACAAACACATCCATGAAAAATAAAAAATACAAATAAATAAATAAATAAATACAAAGGCAATGGCGTTTATTTTCATAGCTGCGCGCCTTTTGGGCCTTTTTTTTTTTTTTTTTTTTTTTTTTTTTTTTTTTTTTTTGGGAGTGTTGCCCTTTGCTTGTTTGGGCCCTCGTCCTTTGTCTCGTCCGCCTCCTTCCCTCCTTCCCGATTTGCCCCCTTTCGCCCGTGTTCTCGGCTTTGACATGTCATGCTGCGTGGGGCTGGCGGACACGCGTGTGGGAGTCGTCGTCGTCGTTTGCTTTCTTTGCATTGAGCTACACTTCTCTCTTTTTTTTTTTTTTTTTTTTTTTTCGTTTTATTCCAACGGTGCCACGTTGATTTTTTTGACAATTACCACGAATTTTATCTCGATTTTTTGCCCTTCTTTTTTTTTTTTTTTTTTTTTTTTTTTTTTGTGTAACTTCCGTCTTTTCCAGCATTCTCTCCCACGTTGCACGCTCGCTCGTCTGCGGCGTCTGTCAGAGCTGAGCTGCTCTTCTTCTTCTTCTCGCTGCATCTCTCCGCCCCGATCGTCGCTCTGCTCGTGATTTGCGACTGCGATTCGATCGCATTTCCCGCCCTTGTGGGGTTTTTTTTTCTATTTCTTTTTTTTTTTCCATTTGATTTTCATTGCTTTGGGTTTTTTTTTTTTCATTCCTTCCATTTTTTTTCTTTTTTTTTTCTTTTTTTTTTCTTTTTTTCCTTTTGCGTTTTTGTGATCTGACTTTTGTTTTTTTGGTTTTTTGAACAGATAGTTGATGAAATTTCAACTTCAAGTCAAAAAATAGTCAAAGAAAACAAGCAACAATCAAAGAGTTTGACAAACAAACAAAACACCAAGATTTCAAGACAGCTCTCAGACAAGACAAACAAACAACGCAGGCACACTTTTGGTCGCCAAAGCATTCATTCATTCATTCGCTCTCGGACGTGGCAGGGCAAAGTACCATCACACAAGACGATTTTGCCAACTGAACACATCAAAAGCTTACCCTGACATGAGCGACTCTGCCGCTGGCGCTGGTGCTGTCGCCGCTCCGCAACAGCAACAACCACCGCCTCCGCAACAACTGTATATGCAGCAGCAGGGAGGCGCTCCTCAGCCAGACTATCAACAGCAGCCGCAGCAACAGCAACAACCGCCCTATTACATGCACGGCGCCCCCATGCACCCGCTCAACTACATGCAAATGGGAGGCTATCCACAGCAACAGCCACAGCAGCCGCAGCAGCCTCCCCAACAGCACCAGCAATCCCAAGACCCCTCCTTCACCCCGCAACAACCGCAGCAGCCATCACAACAGCAACAACAACAACAACAACAGCAGCAGCAGCAGCAGCAACCATCACAGCAACAGCAGCAGCCTTCCGGTGACATGTCGCAGCAGCAGCAGCAGCAGCAGCAACAACAACAGCAACAACAACCCATGCCGCAGCCAGCAATGTACGGTCAACCGCAACAGTACTACCCTGGACAACCACCGCCGCCGCAACAGATGCAGCAACCTGGCCCTTACATGTACGCGCAGCCACCACCACAAGCCTTTGCGCCGATGGGATACAACATGTACCCCAACCCGTACGGCCAACCGCCGCCGCCGCCCGGCATGGCGATGGCTGGGATGGTGCGCCCAGGCATGCCACCAAACCCCCCACACATGTATCCTCAGCAGCCTCCCTTTGTTAACGGGCACCCGAGCTACGGCATGGATCACCACCAAGCGCCCGGCCCGCTCTTTGCTCCTGGCGGCTTGCCTCCGCCTCCTCCGCCACCGCCGCCGCCGCCGCCGCCCATGCCTCCGATGCCACCGCAAGTGCTCGGCGGGCCGTATATGATGCCGCCACATCCATCCGCAATGCCGCCACACATGCCCCATCCGTCCGATCCCATGGGTGCGGCACCACCTGGTTCCGGAGAGGGCATTCCATTCGAAGTGGTGGAAACGCCCGCCTTTGCCAAGCTCCAAGGTCCGACCATTGACTACTGCATCCGCTCGCTCTCAGTCACCCTTGGTCGCAAACCCTCGCATAACGTCGACTCGGTCGATGTCGATCTTGGCCGATCCAAGTTCATTTCCCGCCGCCACGCCAAGATTGAATACAACTTTACAATGCGCCACTTTGAAATTTCCGCGCTTGGCAAGAACGGTCTGCTTGTCGACAATGAGTTTTGCAACAATGCCAGTGCGCCGGTGCCTCTCGAGTCAAAGTAGGTGGTTTTCTTTTCTTTTGCTTTTTTGCGAGTGTGGGGCTGTTGTTGCTCTGTTTCCCCTTTAGTTTCGTGATCAAATGTCGTCTCATCTCCTTCCTCCGGCTTGTTCTAACAGAGCATTCATTCAAATCGGAGACGTGGGATTTTACTTTTTGCTCCCGCTGGGCACAGTCTCGCAGAACGTCAAGCCGACCAAGAAGAAGCTGCAGGTGGCCGTGCCTGGCGGCGATGAGGATGCGCCTCATTCTGATCTGGGTGGCATTCAATCGCTTGGCTCGTCTGCCTCTGGCACTGGCAACTTTTCCATCCTCCCGTCCTACACGCCGCCTGTCAGCAAGGCACGTGCTGGAGCTGCTGCTGGTTCTGGTGCTGGTGGCGACGGCGTCTCGCCCCACTCGCCTACCGGCACCTTGAGCCCGAACGAGTCGGACGAAGAGGGCCACGACAACGGTCTCCATCCTCCGCAGTCGCTCGTTGACTACAAGGGCGACCCGTCTGTGAAACCACCATTCTCGTACGCAACGCTCATCGCCCAGGCCATCAATATCTCGGCCGACCGCCGCCTGACACTCAACGGTATCTACACATACATTACTGAGCACTTCCCTTACTACAAGCGCGTCGACAACGGCTGGCAAAACTCTATTCGGCACAACCTCTCGCTCAATCCCTGCTTTGTGCGCGTCCCGCGCCCGGATTCGGAACCCGGCAAGGGCGCGTTCTGGACCATCGACCCCAACCTGCAGTACATGTTCACCGACACCAACTTCAAACGCCGCCACAATCGCGCACCTCGCCGGCCAGTTGAATGGCCTGCAGGCTCGGAATTGTCGCCGCGCGGCTCTGCCAAGGCCCAGAAGACACCCCGTACGCCACGAGGCGGCAACCGCTCTGCACCCACCACTCCGACTGGCGCACAGCTGGCGGCGCACCAGCAGCAGCAACAACAGCAGCAACAACTCGGCATGCAAGCCATGCCGCCAATGCCTCCGCACAATGGCTCGTTCGATGGTTCGTCGGGCATGTTGCATCCTGTCGGTCTTGTTCCGACCCCACCTCAACCTGCACCGTTGACTTTCCACGTCCATGCGGGTTCCAAAATGCAGCCACACTCTGCTCCATCCAACAACGTCAGCAGCGGTACCGAGTCCAGCCCAAGCCGCAAGCATGCTGCCGATTCAACGCCCACTGGTGATACCAAGCGCGCCCGTCTCGACTCGCCTGAGGGCAAGCAACCGCACGCAGACGAGGCCCCTGCCAGCAATGCCAACGAAGCACCAGCCCCTGCGCCTGCAGCGTCATCGTAACAAACATGTCAGTGATGGCAATCGTTGCAGTTGACAGTTGTCGGTGTGTTGTTGGCGTGATTTTGTACCAATAGTCGTCTTTTCGAAAAAATTTTCTTCGTTTGCCCTCCTCCATACATTGTGTCCCATCTCCCAATGTGTTTCGTCTCGTCTAGCAAGTAATCCTCCAATATAGCATTTTACTCCATCCCACCACCAGTTACTGACAAATCTTTCGGATAACTTGGCAGTAAAGCAAAGAACTCACCGCTTGATCCATTTGTGACCGCACACTCACCCGTCCCTTACAATGCCTGATAGTGCAAGATCAGAACAAACAATCTATTGATTCATTTTTTTTTTGTTTCAACGACGCGTCAAGCGCCACACAAGGGAATAAATGCTGAGAGAAATATCGTGAGGAACTGGTCGGTGAAGGTGGTCAAAACCCAGCTGACATGCGATCTGCCCCATAAAGTTTGTTCAAAGAATGTGTCGGCGTTAGTCATTTACCAGGAAGACAAGCACAAAACAAAAGACGAGCCTCATCATTTTTCGCCTCGCATGCCTTACCACTGCCGTTGTAGTTGCCCGATCGGGCGGTTGTTGTCGATGAAGTCAGCGGTTGGTCATCGGACTCATCGCCAAGAATGTCGTCAGAGGACATGCGACGGGAGGACGTGCCACTCGAAGAACGCGAAGAATTTCGGTTGCCTGCATTCCCACCAAAGCCTGCATTGTTGTTGCTGCTGCTGCTGCTGCCGGCTGGTGCAACAGGACGCTGCTTGGCACCTCGGTTGCGTCGTGGCTTGGGAGGGGCCGCGCCGGAAAAGCTCGGATCGTCCAGTGAAGCAGGCGACTGGGGCGAGTTGGGCGACGCCACATTTGCAGCAGACACAGCAGCCCAACGCGCTGTGGAAGGTAAATGCGAGCCGGCTGCAAAAGCCGTGGTGGTGTCTGCAGCGCCACTCAACCCGCTCAGAGAGGAGCTGGGTGACAGCACGCTCTCGTGGCTGTGGCTGCTCCCGCCGCCATTCCTTCGAAGCAACTGCTCGCACTCCTGCCTCCACTGCAATGCGCGCGCCCGGTGCTCGCCAGAGAACATTTCTTGGCGCATGGTCTTATCCAGCAAGACCAAGAACGCCGACAGATGGTGCTCTGGCGCGTCAAGCGACCCAATCAAGTAATCATGGCCACAACTCAGGACATGCATGACTGTGTGTGCAAATTCCGTAGACCCTGCAGACGTGTCAGGCTCGGCGTCATCTGCAGCGTCTGAGTGCAAAGGAGCGCACACAATGGTTTTGAGCTCCTCGATGGCGCTCAAGAATTTGGATGGATCCACAATGTGCTGTTGAAAGGGGAAAAAACAAAGCGACACAAGAAAACATCAGATTCAACAGCCGCCACAAAACTCCACGCTTCTAGCCAAATGGCAAAGAGAACAACAACATACCTGCTCGAGTTTGGCGAGCGTTTGATCACGCTCCTTCAATTTGTGGATGGACAGCAGAATCTTTTTGCGCGCACCTGCCGCGCTCACACCCATCGTCTGAAGCTCAGAGTCTGTCAGCTGAAGCATTTGGTTGTAGTGCAGCGGCGCAAACAGGTCCAAATACTTGTGCAACCGGAGGCTCTTCAACCACATCGGGACATCTACCAACGCAGAAAAAAAAAACAGCGCTAAAAGTCAGAACGAAAAAAAAAAGTAAAGTGCGTGCGCGTTCTCTCTCTCACCCTTCATGCTGCTATGCAAATCAGTCGTGCTGTTGCGCGGAGACTTGCTCATCGGCGTCGTAAAGCCTGTGGGCGAAAGGAATCCGGGCGACGCGTAGGCGGAACGTGGATTCATTTCATCATCCATGTCAACGTCGTCGCTTTCGCCAGTATCCTGTCGCGGAAGTGATCGGGATCCAGCCGAAGATGGTGCGGACGGTGGCTGACGAAGAGCGGACGAGCTGTAGGCGGATGTCGCAGCCGGCGCGCTCGTGACGGACGCTGGGGCGGTCGATACCGCAGACGGGGAAGCCGACGGCATGCCTGGAGCTGGCGTGGGAATGAGCATGGAAGACCCACCGGTGTAAAGGCTGGCGGGATTGGGTGGCGCCATGCTTGGCACGGTAGAAACCGGGAATCCGTACGACGCGTCGACGAGCAAATGAGGCGAACCAATCGAACTGCCCCAAGCGTTGACGTCAAACGACAGGCTGGGTAGTGCACTGGCCTGGGAGGGCGGCGTGTACGACACGCTTTGCAATGAGTTGAAGCTCGACGACGTTGGGAGCGGCGCTTGTGTGGGATGCAGTATCGGCGAGGGCTGCAACGACGCAGCGCCAAAGCTGATACTGGGAGCACTCTGGCGTGCTTGGTGGGAAGGGCTGGGTTCCGGGGCCAAATAGCTTGTCGGCATGAGCGGAGTTGCCCAGCCGATGGGCCCGCCATAGCTGTGATGGCTCGGAATACTGGCGATCGAGGTGGATGGGGACGACGATGCCGAGGGGGAATTGTGAAACATGGTCGATGGCGATGCAGAGGACAGGACGCTGTTCAAAGAGGGCGTCCCGCCAAACGAATGCGAGGTGACCAAGCCGCCGGGCATGCCGTGGATGCTGCTCGAGCTACTACCACCGCCTACGCCGCCGCCGACGCTGCCACTGAGGGCGCCACCAAAGCCCATGCTAGTGGTGTTCATCATGGTGAGAGAGGTGGGCCGGCCAAACACGCTCGAGGTCGATTGCGAGACAAGGGAGGAAGTAGCCGAGTTGGAGAGCGGTGATGTGATTCCAGCCCAGCTGGCCACATGGTGACTGGTCGCAGATGAAACGGGGTCTGTTGCGACAGAGCTGCTTGAGGTGCGACGCGAATCGGAGGAAGTGTGGGTCTCGAGCACGATGGCGCTTCGACGATGCTGCACAAGCGTCACCAATCGATGCTGCCACCGGAGGAGCACCTCACGCTGCGTGTCATCAAACGCTGGGTGGACAAGCGCCAACGACAGCAACGTTCGGCAGTTGGCAAAGTGGCTGCTTTCCGGGTCTTTCTGCTTGAATGCATGAGCAAAGGCTTTGGACAGGCACCGTGCGATTTCTTCAACGACAGCAATCGTGGGGTGCACTGCAGTGCTCGACGCTGGCACGGACGACGATGACGAGGAGGAGGCGACGCTCCGAGCAGCCGTGGCGTTTGTGCTTGAAGCAGTCGCCATCCCTCGCGCAGAGGCCGGAGGGATGATGATCAGTGGCAGCATTTCGAGCATTTGCTCGGTCGCAGATTCAATCAGAGCCAGCTCGCTCGACGCAAACAGTTGGCGCAAGAATTCTGTCACAAAAATCCAAAAAGCAGAGAGAGAGAGAAAGAGAGAGAGAGAGAGAACAGGTGAGACGACGAGACTTGCAAAACGAACGGATCATGATCGGCAGCAACAACGACAAGAAGCTCAGAGCAGCTCAGATTCAAAACGCGATCCTTTTGTTTGGCTTTCTTTTGTTGTTTTTTTCCAAAGTGAATGTTAACTTGACATCCCTGTCTGTGTCTTCCTTTTTTGTCATTCTGTACTTCTCAGACAACGACCCTTTTTTGTATCCGTTCCTGGTATCGCTTTCGACTTGCTTCCTTTTTTTACCTGGATCGTTGATGGTGCGCTGGAGTGCCTGCAGTTCGCGGTGCTCGTCTGCGCGCTGGTGAGCGAGCGCGGTCGTGACAAAGAGCGAGTGCGCGGCTGGCAGCGAGTGCATCAGCGACAGGACGACGACCGTCCGCTCAACGGCGCTGCTCAGCTGGCCAAAGTGACTGTGGACTGCCTGGACGTGCTCGCGGAAGCTGCGGCTGCTGCTGGTCTGCTGAGGCTGCTGAGGCTGCTGAGGCTGACTCGGAGTCAGGCTGCTGCTGCTGCTATCATTATTATTATTATTACTATTGCTATTACTATTACTATGACTATGACTACTTTTGCTATTCCCATTGCTATTGCTATTGCTATTGCTTGTAGCAGTCGGATTGCTGCTGCTGATCGTTGTTGAGGATGGGGACGATGATGCTGCTGATGCTGATGATGCTGATGATGCTGCGGCTGGTAGTGCGGCGCTCGTGCCGCTGTTGTTGAACAGTGACATTATGACTGTTTGGGTAAGGGAAGAAGAAGAGTGAGGGAGAGTAAGGAGAAAGAGGGGGAAAAGCGGGAATGGAGTGGGATACCACCCCACTAACTAAAAGGTCAAAAAAAAGGAGATTGCGAAAGAAAAGGGTTAGAAGGACGTAAGAAGAAAAAAAACTCAAGAAAAAGAGGATACGAATCCACTAACTAAATAGCAGACAACAAACAACAAAAAAGATTGAGAAAACAACGAGTGAGCTTGAATGGTCGCAAAAAGGAAATCACAGAATAGTATAGTAGCCCGACGTGGATGGACTGCACACACAATATCGGCTGGACGCTCGAGGAGAACAGAGAGGGAGACGGCTGTTGTGTGTGTGTCGGTTCGGATTATCTTTCTCTCAGATTTTTGCACCCTTCCCTAGACTATGAAAAAAATTCTGGATTTGTTTGAAGCTTGTTTGACTCGCACGCACACAAAAAATGAGAACAGAGAGACAGAGACAACGAGATAGAGGCAGAAAACAGAGACAACGAGACAGAGACAACCAGCGACTCGAACGCCGCCCGAGGTGAGCCGAGACAGCGCCTCGAGCAGGAATAGCTTGTTACAGATGCTGTCAACCTCGTCGGGCATGTCCTTCGTGCCAACAGATAGCGTGCGGGGTCAAGAAAACGTTTTTACAGAGAAAATCAACGAATGAGCCGAGATCGAAGGCAATCAACGCGTGTGCATCGCTCAAATAGTATGGTACAGAGCTCCATAGGACTGCAAACTGAGCTAGTTGTGCTTGATAAACGCCTTTCCAGCGCTGTGCAAATTATCTCGATGCTCACTCCTTTCCTTATGTTTCAAAATGAACGTTGACGAGATTCTGCACAAGCGAGGCGAGTTCAACCCGATCGACTATTTTGCAATACTCAACTGCGATGCCAGCAGCAATGTAAAGGACTCGTGACTTGATGCAGATTGGAAAATCTGCTCAAAATCTGCTCAAAATCTGCTCAAAATCTGCTCAGAATGATCAAATTCGTGCCGAGTACCGACAATTGGCGCTCCGCCTGCATCCCGACAAGCAGCCTCCAGCCCGAGACACCGAGTCAAGCAACCCATCTGACATTGCAAGCACGGCATCGGACGCACGAGCGGCTGCAGAACAAGCGAAATCGAGCACGAATGACCAATTTGCCCTCATTCAGCGCGCGTACCAAGTCCTGCTGGACCCGCAGCTGCGCTCAAAGTACGAGCAATGGTACAGGAGTGGCCTTCAGCTTCAGTTTGAGTCGTGGCTGGCCCACGGCGACTCTGCGCACTCGGTAATGCAAACTCACTCTTCTCCCACGCGCGTACGCCACCTGAAACCTTTGCAAACGTTTGACTTGGACCGCTCATGATCTTTGTCATATTGCAGTCGGTGCATTGGCAATCGAAGGCGCGCCCGGAACCTGCAATCGAGTCGCACTCGGCTGTGCAGGAACGATTGCAATCTGCGTCCAATCCAACACCATTGAATGAGAAACCTCAACGATCGTCCGCCAGTCTCTTGCAACAGTTTCGCAACTATCAAATATAGTTTGTGGAATCAAAATTGCGCGGCGAGCATGCGGCGTCGAGGGAAAGCACTCGCTTTTCAAGGTGAGCCGCATCCAGCTCGCTGTCAGCGCCCTTACCCCAGTTCGAATCCTGCGCGATAGAACTGCAACTTGAAATGGGGAAATATCCACCATCTCTTATTCTGGCAAACAATCGCCTTGTGTACAAGAGTAAATGTATTCAAAAATGATGATACCACACCAACACAATGTCACGTCTAGTAGAGATTGGCGGCCTTCTTGAGGTTGTCCTTCTTCCACGGAGGAACAGCCTCGTACTCGCGCTTGGTCATGCCGAAGAGCTTCTTAAACTCGTGCTCGGACAAGTATGTCTCGAGCTTTCGGCTGTCGACACCTGGGGGCAAGACCTCCTGAAGCAGCTCCTCGTACGTGTAAATCTCGAGCGTGTACTCGACCAAGACTTCTTGGACGGAACGAATGACGTGGCCTCCTTTCTTCTGTAGAGCGCAAAAGCAGCAAAAAGAAAACAAAAAATGAGCAATCACGTACATCCACACTTTGCGCGCAAACAACACACTCACATCAATGCTGCCTTTGCGGGGACTGCGAGAGGAAGAAGCAGCCGCAGGTTCGGCAGGACGCTCGAGCAATTCGCGAGCCCAGCCGTGGAAGTGTGCAAGGAAATTGATGGACTCCTTGCCAGAGTTGATCACCCACAACGGCGTGTTCTTGCCCTTCGGGTGCTTGGTGCCTGCATTGGCCACATAGGCCTGTGCCGTCTCCATGGCATACTTTCTGACAATGGGCTTGGAGCGGGTGCCAAACCAGACGTACACCTCATGAAGGGCATCCAGCACAAACACGAGCTCATCCTCCAAGTCCTCTTGGCAAAAGTTGAACACTTGTTCGGCAGTAACCACGCCCGTTGCGTTAGTGAAGGAATACAAGCGCGGACTGACGCGCTCCTTGCCGCCGTAGCCGTCAAAGTAGGGCTGCTTGGCTCCGAGCATTTCCCAGAATTCCGGGGGCTCTTCGCCTTCTTCAATGGAGATGATCTCTTGACTTTCAAGCTATTAAGCGAGCAAAAAAGTCGTGAGAAAGAATGAGCAAAACCAAACGCAACAAAAACCAACAAACAAAAAGCGACATACCTTGAACTGCGCTGCAAGTCGCGCAGCGGTGCGGTGCTCGTGATCATTGCTGTGGCGACCGTGCCAGGTAAAGGTACCCAGACGTCCGGAAACCACGGCCGAATGCCAGGAATGCAAGTGGGCGACGGAACTGACCGTTTCGACGCCTCGCGTATCGATGGCGTCGTTGCCGCGGACGTCAAACATCAGCACACTGCCGGCGCTGCCAAAGGTAGCGAAGGAGCCCATACGCACCAGCATCTTGCCCTTGAACATGGCCAAGAAGTGATGGCACTCCTTGTTCATGGTGGTGCGCAACTGCGTCGCTTCGCCTCCGAGCTCCTTGTCATCCAGCTCAATCGTCCAGAGCGCAGAAGCTCCCTTCTCAGTGACGCTCGAGTCCTTGCCCTGCCAGTAGTAAATCACATGGCGGTCTGAATTCTTGAAAAAGTACGTGTACTGGATGACGTACGAATCGCCGCCAAAGAGCTGTCCGTACAAGCCGCGAGGGAAGGGTTCCATCTCGAAATCGCTAATACGCCTGTGAGCGATGGTCATTGACGTTGAGCCACAGAAAAGGACGAGAGTCGGAAAATGAGCGACATGAATAGGAAACAGAAACAAAAAAAAAACCAACAACACAGTCCAGCGGCTGACCAAATCTTAAACCGGCCCTCGGGCTTGGGGTCATTCTCAAACAGCTCGTCTTCTTTGCTGCGTCGAGGAGTAGAGTTGTACAAGACCAACGGATCGATCGTTTGCTGAACAGCAGTTTGAGCAATGTTGCCTTTCGCTTCTGCCATCATACTTGTGCCTGTCAAGATTCATTCAACAAAGCACAAGGAAATAGAAGGAAGGTGAGGGGGGGGGTTAGCACCAGCAGGTGGCAGGGCGAGTCCCACAAAATCAACCCCAAAAAAAAACAAAGCCAGCAAACCTTGGAAAAGACCTGGGAAGCCGTCAAACTTCTCCTTGAATAACACCATCTCTTGGCCTTCCAGAACCTTGAACAAAATCTTCCACGAAGGACGCTCCGGTTGCACCTAAGCTCCAAAGTGAGTCACAAGCAATTCTTCGACACCCAAATAAACAGTTTGAACCGTACGTAAAGCGTCTTGGCAATGCGAAGAGCAAGCTTGCGCTGAGTTTGAGAGCTCGATTTGCCCTGCCAAACATAAATCTCGGCCTCGCTCTCGACGACGTATGCAAAGTTTGTTTTCAGAATGTCCTTGCTCGGCTTGCGACCCTCAAACACCACGACCACGCGCTTGGCAAACTCCTTGTGGTCGACCACCTTGTAAATCTTGACGGGCGACGCCACAATCAGAGACTCGTCAAAGGTAGTCGGGTACGACTCTGGCTTGCCGTCAAGCAAGTCAAAAAACTCTTTCTTCTCGTCGCGGGCACCTTGCTCCATCGTGATGATTGTTGCAACACCGTCGCTGTGTCCAATCAACCCCTCGCAACAGGTGAGAACAAAGTCGAGGAACAACCAGCAAAATACACCGAAAAAAATCCAGCCCCTGTACCGTTCGTGCTTGTGAATGCGCATGGCCACGTCCCAGCCCTTCGCCTTGGTCAAGCGACTCGCGGCCGTGCCATTCCACTGGTAAATCTTCTTGCCAGTGTCGAGTACGTACGAGCACGCAGAGTTCAGAGAGGACGCCTTGGCTTCGCAAAGATGAGCATAACCACGACGCTTGGCCGTGCAGCGGATCAACAGCACCTTTTTGCCATTGTGGACATCCGAGCGATCGAGCACGACAGCAGCAGTCACTTCGGGACTGTCCTCGGTCTCCACTTCGGGCACGTGCAGAGCTTTGGCCACAGAACGCGCCACGTCGACTTGCAGCATGCACATGATCACAGCGCACCAGCGATCGCGCTCTTCAGGGGTCTGTCAACAACGAGTAAACGAGTAGGCCGCATTGGAATTGTTAAATCATCCAAAAAACAAACAGGCTCGACAGAATTTGGCGTCACTTTATACCTTTGCTCGCAAGTCAAGAGTGGCGGTCGCGGTCTTGATCTGGAAACCCAACTCGGGGTCCTGCGGTGTGTCCAAAAAAAAAGTCGTCAGCACACACACACACACACACACACACACACACACACACACACACACACACACACACACACACACACACACACACACACACACACACACACACACACACACACACACACACACACACACACATACAAATCGAAATCATCCTTCACCAAACTATCCTTCTTTCATCAAACTACGGCAGTGCGACATACCTTCTCGGACTCGACCACACTCTGGACCGAGGTCATGGGCACACGCTTGTCGGGCTGGGTCGCACCGCGGTAGCGGAAAAAGAACAAATCTTGGCCGACAAGCGACATCCAGCTCTGGCTGTACAAGCCCAGCATGCCCTGAGGGCGGTCGACATAGCCCTCCAGCGTCGTGGTCGCGTTCACAGGAACGGGTGTGATGGATCCAGAGCTGCTGTGGCTGTCGGGATCGGTCTCGCCATCTTCGGGAGCAGAGGTTGCATCAGGATCCAGCACGGTGGCGACAGCGAACAGGTTGATGGCGGACGAGCCGCTGCGCGTGAGGACTGGCGCCTGCTGCAAGGTCGAGCGAATGTACTCGAGCTCTGTCACCCATGTGATGGCCTTGGTGACGGAGGACGCGCGCAAAAAGCACACGCGCGTCGCAGTAATCACTTGGAATTCAGTCAGAACAGCAGGGTCGGCCGCAATCAGCTCTTGCTCTTGCTGTGCGCTGTGCGCGTGCTGTTGTTGGTGCTGCGAGGAAGCCGTGTTTGGAAGCGACAACTGCGAGTTCACAGTGCGGCGCACGTACAGCACCTTGGACATGTGAATGTCCTCCAGCATGTTTTCCAGTTGGTCCTTCTCGGGAACATACGGGTACAGCTTCAAGACGCCATTGTCCACCCGCACCCAGCGCTGCGGCCACGAATCAAACATCATGCCAGCCTCCTTCAAGGTCACGAGATCACCGCGAGTAATGTGATTGCACTTGGGGTCGTTGGCACCGCACACATTGTAGTCGGGCTCGTCTTCGCCGTTCTGCTGAGCGGGACCAGATCGCAAGCGCTTGGGCTCGATCGCTTGGAAGGCAAAGTTGATGCACGCATGAATAGCTCGCACCCATTCGTTCGCCTCGTTGTCACTGGCGGCCTGGAAGATGAACGTCCGGCCCAAGCCAGTCAGCTCCAGCAGGCGCGGAATGGTGCCAATCTTTTGGCGAATGTGCTGCGCCGCCTGGAGGTCTTCCAAGTCCTTGACGGACACCCAGGTCAGTCTGCCAGTGTCGACAGTGCCCAGGGGGTCCTTGGAGGTCTCGTTCTCAAAATAAAGCAGCTTGCTGCCGCTTGCTCCTTGGCGCACCAGCTTGACGTGCCGCGGCTTCCACGATCGGAAGAAGCCAGTCTGCACAAACAAGGTACCGACCTTGACAAGCTTGCCCGTCATGTCTGGGCCCGCCTCGGCAGCTTTTTGAGATGCCGGTGACGTCGGCGCCCCAGCGGCGGTTGGAGGACCGTTGGTTGAAGTGCGCTTGGCGTTGGCCGCGGACGGGGCGCGAGTCAACGAACTTGGAGACAGCGTCGTCTGCTGCGGGGCTGCTGCAGGGCTGGCTTTTTGAAGCGCAAGACGAATCGTGTTGACCCAGTGCGTGGCCTCCTTGGTCGTGGTTGCTCGGTAGTGTCGATCGAGATCGCGACCGTCCGTCACCTGGAAGCAGACGTCTTGCACCTGCTCCCACATGTCCTTGTCGGGATGAACCACACGCAGGCCAGGCTTGATCGGAATGGTGTAAATGGACGTGGAAGCCTCGGCCGAGTCGAAGGCGTACAGCACTTCGTCCTTGAGCGACAGGTGGACTTGGCGGAACTTTCGGAAGAAGGAGCTGGTGAGTTCTGCCAGCTGACCTTCGAGCGCCGCGCTGAGTGGCTGGTGAGGGGCAGAGGCATCGATGCCAGCCGCCGCGCTGGATGCGGCCGCAGCAGCTGCCGCGGCCACATCTTCTGCACGCTTCTTGCCGCCCGCCTCCTCAGGAACGTCAAATACGGAAACGGCGCCTTCGGGCTTCAAGCTGACAAGCTTTGGCGGAGCGAGCTTGCCCGCAAAGAACTCTGCAGACGAGATTGACGGCTCTCCAGAGGGTGTTGGCGGGAACAGGTCCTCTTGGAAATAGGAGGTCTGTGCAAAGAGCGCAACAGCACACAAGAGTGAGAGGGAAGGAGATCACGCGTGCACGCTAAAGTTGCAAACAGCCTAGGACCGCAAGCGGTTTAAAAAAAAACGAAAAAACGAAATCAACCAAAAAAACTCACTTTGCGCGGAACCTGCATGGACACAAATTCAATCATGTCCTTGTTGAGCTTGAGGAATTGCGCGACTTCGCACTTGGAGACGTCGCACAGGCGCTTTGGCAAGAGCTTTGCGTTGAGGATGGCCGCGAACTTGAGCTCCAGCACAAATTGGAGGTGCGGAGATGTGTCGCTTGCTTCAAACACGTGCATGCCCTCGCCCTGAAGAGAAGAAAAAAAAAAAGAAGAAGAAGAGAGAATCGGTTTACAAACGTCAGTGCATCATAAATTTGGCATGAACAGCGTCCATCCAAGAAGGAGACAAACCTTGTCAACAAGATAAATCAAATCCGTGCCCAAATCGTAGAAGGGAACGAGCATGCTGGGAGACATGTTCATTTGATGCCGCTTGAGAGGCTGCGACAGTTTGCGGTTGTCCCAAACAGCAACCTCGCGCAAGCTGGCCTTGTTGAAACCAACCGTCGCAACACGTTCGCTCTCTCCAAGCCAAACAGTGTGGAAGCCCTTGAGACCGTCGTGCGCGTCAGTCGACTGTGCAAAAGAAGAGCAGAGTGAGATACGCAAGCCGTGTCAGCATCATGAAGGAGTGTGAACGACACAAAAAAACAGCAAACAACAAGGCCTTACAGAAGTGGCTTCACCGGGTTTGCGAGCGTCAAAGTAGCGGAGCTTCTTGTCCTTGCATGAGGTGACGAATCGCTGGCCATCCAAGCTGAACGAGACCGACAGTGCAACATCGTCGTGACCGGCAAACGAGGACATTTCCTTGCCTGCCTCGAGATCCCAGAGCCGGACCGTCGAGTCGGCAGCAGCCTGTTCGCCCAAAAAAAAAAAGCATCGAATGTGGTGAGAATGCAGTACAATCATGTTTGCTGTCGCTCATGACATGCTCAGTAAGCAAGCAGACAGTTGGGCAAAAGAGCTTACTGATGCAAGAACATGGTTGGCAGTTGGATGGAATTGCGCAATTGCCGCTCGCTTCGTGTGGCCCGACAGCGTGAGTGTCGGTTCTTCGATATTCCTTCGAATGCCGTCTTCGGGGAACTGCATGGATTTTGGTCACACAATGTTCAGAATGTTCAGAATGTTTGGTGAGTGAAACTGATTCGTGACCAAGCGCGGATTTCGCTTTCTTGGTCGTTTTTTCCCCTTTCTGATCGTTTGGGATGTGTTCAATGATGATGATGTCGACATTTGTTTTTGCTCCCATTGGAAGTTGGTCTGTGTGTGTGTTATGAGGATTCACTCGACCTTCCAAATCGAGGTGTGGACTGCGCAATTTTGACTTGCTCTCGATCCTCCTGCACCGTCCGACCAACTCCCCCAAAAACCACAACATGACAACTGATCCATCATCGAATCGACTGAAAGTTGTGAAGTGCAGATGAGAATGGGTCCGAGTCAACGACCATCGCCCCTTTCCAATCTCTCGCTCGTTCACCCATTGTCAGAATTCTTCGCTCCTCCAATTTGTTTCAGTTCGGGGTTCGTTTTTTGGTTTGTTTGTGATCATGTTGCTGTGCGTTGTCAACCGTGCATGCTCTGTTGAGTGCTGGAATCGCATTGCAATCACAACACTACAACAATTTGTATGGAATTGCATTGCAAACAACCGAACACTTTTTTTTTTTTTTTGTCGTTCTTTCTGTTTTGCTTTTTCAACCGACCCGGCAACCCATCAATCATCATCATCATCATCATCATCATCATCATCATCACCGTCGTCACACATTCTCAAACTCTCACAATCCCAGCTGTTGTTGTTGTTTCCATCCAACAAAAAAAACCAACCGAATGCAACAAAATTTGAAACGGCAAAAAAAAAAAAAAAAAAAACAAAAAAAAGTCACTGTCTTTCCATTTCCTTCCTTTTTTTTTTTTTTTTTTTTTTTTTTTTCAGATTCTCTTCCTTCTCAAATTGTTGCTTTGCTTTCTCTTCTGATGTGTTTTCGTACCTGCCACAGCTTGACTGCGCCATCGCGAGCGGCAGTTGCAGCGACCGTGTGGACGAACGGGTGCAGATCGAATCCGAGGATGGTGGCGTTGTTGACGAGGAGCGCGGGGCTGTCTGCAAACCTGCGCGGCGCCACTTCGCTGGGCTCGAACGGCATCACGGCCAGTGTGTTGGCGTTCGGAGTGCTCCACGGGATGGCAAAGTAGCTCGCATTCGCTTCAATCCGAAAGTCGCCCACTTTCGCATTCGTCCACTTCCAGTCCTTCTTGGGCGCCGCCGTCATCCACTTGAACCGCGAAACGCTCCCGCCAGTCCCAGCGCCTGTCGATCCGCTTCCTCCTCCAGTCATTCCACCACTCATCGCTTTGTGTTGTTGTCGTTTTTGTTTGTTTGTTTGTTTGCTTGTTTTTGACCGAGTTTTTGTTGAAAAGTTCAAAGAAAAAAGAAAAAAAAGGAAAAAAAGGAAAAGAAAAAAAAAAGAGTGAAAAAATTTGGAAGAAAATTCGTGAAATTCTGCGATTGTTGATATTTGTTTGTTGTTTTGCGCGTTGTTTCGAATGCTGTCGTTTGAGATGAGAAAGTGAGACGAGAATAAACAGCGCGAGTTTCGTTGGGTGGAGAGGGATGGTTGTGGGAGTGATCGGTTGGAAGGGAAACAACAGCCAAACTGGAAAAGGAAACCACGACACGCAACGTTGAAGCGCAGGCTGTCGTTTGAGATGAGAAAGTGAGACGAGGATAAACAGCGCGAGTTGTGTGACAGAGTCATGAAAGCGAATGATGTGAGAGCGATCGATTTGCAGGGAAACAAAAGCCGATCAAATTGGAGGTTCAGTCAGGAAACCGGATGAACGTTCAAAGCGCAGGCCTTTGCTGAGACCCTCAAAGTGAACACGGCGGCTGACTGGAAGGAATCTCACTTGTTGACTGATTCATGTGAGTGGGTGATTTTTCAAACAGGCGGCGTTAAAGAGAGCTCACGAATGAAAATGCTCAGAAAAGTGCACCATCAGGCCTCACACAAAGATTGAGGGAAAAGGGACTCGTCCTTGTGTTACACGAGAGTACACAAGTGAGGGTTGACTTCATTCAAAACCAATCCAATCCAATCCAATCCAATCCAATCCCATACAACCCATTCACCACAAAAACTGCATATGGGTTTTTCCAATGCAAAAAAAAAAAAAAAAAAAAAAAAAAAAAAACCCTCTTGCCACCCCGGCCCTTGGCGACGTTCCCGCGCCCCTTTGACAACCACCAGTGTATGTGACCTATCCATGGTACGTGGTTGATATTTGGAGGCCGGGACGCTGCATCCAAGACGTGATTGACGAGAATGGTGGCTGTTCTGAATACTCATGTGGAGCTGACTTGCTGCAGTTTTTGTGGTGCATTCTGAGCATTTCTCAGTCTTTTTTTTTTTTCTTGGCTTGGTCCATTGTTCGATTTCTCCACACTTGCACCTCACATTCATCAACCCTCCTACTGTATCAACCACGCTTGCCGCACTGCGTTCCGTGAGTGTCGCTGGCATTGCAGCTCGCGCAGTGGATCTGCTTCCTGCTGCAGCCAGAGTTCGAAACCACGCCTCGATCGCCGCGTTGGCCCCTGCAGCCTACCGCGCTCAGCCGGGTCGTTGCACTGACACTTTTAGCAGCGGCAGTCGCATTCGAGCTGTGCCAAGCGCTGCTGGCCGTCGCGGAATCTCGAGCTCAGTGCATCCTCAGCAAGCCAAGCAAGCCAAGCCAGCCAAGCAAGCCAAGCAAGCCACCCCGCTGTCCAAGGCCCCCGAGTCTGGCTCGTCATCATCATCATCACAGGCATCGTCGTCACAAGCATCGTCGCTGCAGGGTAGCGCAAGAACGAAGCAGAAGCGGTCGACTTTGAGCTCCATCTCAAGCACTGCGACTGACAGCACGACTGAGACTCTTGACAGTGATAGTACCGATAGTAACACTAGGACAAAGGTGAGATTGAGATAGGAACGTGCACTGCATGCATTGATGGATGGATACTCTTGATGCGAGGTCTTATTGTCTGAGAATCGAGCTTTTTTGCGCTCACATTAAGCTGCTCCCGGAACTTGGTTTTCGCAGGAAATGCCGCATTATGCA